GGTGGGGGGGGGGGGGTCAGTTACGGGATAATTCAAGCACATTACATTTATTGTGTACTTTATTTCTATTATTGTTACATTGTAATATATAATGAAATAATTATACAACTCACCATAGGTTGGGGACTCCTGCCCTAGAGTAAATTTGGGTAAACTTTTGAATGTACTTCAGGACGGGTGAAGTCTCAAAGTGGGAGAAGGACATCAGCAAGTAAGCTTAGGTGAACAGAAAGTGAACACTATGGAAGTGTAACAATCAAAAGGAAATGTGGATCATATATAAAGTTCATACTTTTTTTTCTACCAAAGGATATGAGCTATCACTGAAGTCACTACAATTTTCATAGAAATGTGTTTACAGGAGCAGTTTTAAAGATTGTTGTCTGGTTAATAATTTCCACTCTATAAGCACGATATTCCATAGGCATCTGAAATCTGGATACTCCACACACGCCTGAAATTCAACATATCCAAAACTAATCATCCTTCTCACAAACCTACTTTTTATCCTATAGTCCTCTTGGTAGAGTGCCACCATTCATCCAGTCACTCAAGCTAGAAATCTAGGAATCATTTTGGATTTTCCTCCCATCCTCATGACATCTAGAAGTGACCAATCCTGACAATATAACTTATGTTTTTTTAATTTTTATGGGTACATAATAGTTGTATATCTTTATAAGGTACATGTTATGTTTTCACACAGGCATAAAATGTGAATTAATCAAATCAGGATAATTCGGGTCTTCATAACCTCAGGCATTTAACATTTCTTTGTTTTAGGAACATTCCATGCACTCTTTAAGTTATTTTAAAGTATACCATAATTTATTGTTGATTATAATCACTTTGTTGTGTTATCAAATATTGTTCATTCTATCTAAGTAACTTCTTAATAATTCTATAATTTGTTACCCTCTCCATATATACTAACTAGGACTTAGTTTAAGGGCTTCATTAACTCTCAAATAAGCAATTTTCATGGCCTAGTTATGATCCTGGATTCCCACCTTTCACTCTTCCAATCTGTCCTCCATGATGCTAATCATTATCTTTTTTTCAATTTTGAAAAGAAAGCTTATGAAAACTGGATCATGGTACCATATTATCACACTGTTAAGTAATTATTTTACTCTCAATTATTTGACTCTTTTTTTTTTTCTATTGTTTAAGCAAGGGAGAAGTCACACAAAGTTCTAAAATAATTTTAGAAAGCATTGCAGCAAAACCTCACCAATTAAGGAACTAAATGAGAGAAATTAATATGTTAGTCTAAAACATGAATTTTTCCCCCTTCTGAATAGACTTCATCTTTTGAGCAGTTTTAGGTTCACAGCAAAATTGATCAGAAAGTACAGAAAGTTCCCACATACCTCTGCTCCCCTCCCAGCCTCTTCCTACCACGTGCTGCACCAAAGTGGTAAATTCAGTACAAATGATGAACCCTTCAGTGACATATCATTCTCAGTTTCCATGGTTTACACTAGGGTTTACTCTCGGTGAGTTTGGACAAATGTATAATGACACGTATACACAATTATAGTGTAACACAAAATAGATACACTGTGCTAAAAATCCTCTGTGCTTTGCCTATTCATCCCTCTCTCCTCCCAACCCCTGGCAACCACTAGTCTTTTTACTGTCTCTATAAGTTTTGTCTTTTCCAGAATGTCATATTGTTGGAAACATACCCTATGCAGCCTTTTTAGATTGGCTTCTTTCACTTAGTAAAATGTATTTAAGTTTTCCCCATATCTGTTCATGGCTTGATAGCTCATTTCTTTTGGTGCTGAATAATATTCTATTGTCCGGATGTACCACAGTTTATTTCTCCATTCACCTACTAAAAGGCATATTCCAAGGGCTTCCAAGTTTTGGCAATTATGAACAAAGCTGCTATAAACACCGGCATACAGGTTTTTCTGTGGACATAGTTTTCAACTCATTTGGGCAAATACCAATGAGCACATGTGCTGGATCATATGGTAAGAATATTTTTAATTTTATAAGAAGCTGCCAAACATCTTCCAAAGTGGTTGTCCCATTCTGCATTCCCACAAGCAATAAATGAGAGTTTCTGTTGCTCTACATTCTCATCAGCATTTGGTGGTGGTAATGTTCTGGATTTTGGCCATTCTAACAGTCATATAGTGGTATTTCATTATTATTTAATTTGCATTTTCCTAATGACATATACTGTGGAGCACAATTATCTTTTGAAAATGTAGAACCAATCATGTTATTTCTTAGTTCAAGGCCCTATAATGGCTTCTTACTCTCTACAGAATAAAATTCACACTCCTTAGGCTCCTAAGATCATGCATCTCACCTTCCAGCCCCATTTAATTTATCTATACACCTTACCCTACATCCTACAACATCTCTGGTACTTTTATCCTCTAATCATCTGCATCTGCACCTTCAGAATACACTAGCCTTTTATATTGTTGCTCCTGCTCTGTTCTACTCATCACTATCCTCATTCATGGCTACCTGACAAGCAACTAATCATTTATCAATATTCAGCTCAAATATCAACTATTCCACAAAGCCTTTTATATTCATTCTCTTTTGCACCGCTAACTGTACAATCATATATTGCACCCATAACAATCAATTTCATTTTTTTACACAGCTTTCTTGCCCTACTAAACTGAAGAGAGCCTATCTGATTTACCTCTCAATCACCTAGCACAGTGTTTTGCACATATTGGTTCTCATTAAAGGTTTGTTCAATGACAGAATAAATAAATATTTACTCTCAGTTGATCCTTAGAACAAACCTGTGACATAGGTAAGGTATTTTCTCTGTTTCAGAGATGAATAAATATTTGGTTATGCTCCAAAAGTTTTTTTGGAGGGAGATATTTGTTCCCACAGGAATCAAGTTCTGACTCACTCCAAATGAAGTCCAAAGTTTATCCAACTCATAGCATACATGGACATACAGGTATTTCTGCTATAATGTGAGTTTTCATAATACTAATAGGAAATATAATTAATTAATTCGGGAACCTGAACTGCATTGTGCAGACTGCTAATGGTCCTAGAAGAGATGGTAGCACAGGAAGAAAAGCTGCTGCTTGCAGCACAGCTGTTTTGAGTGTTGTTACACTATTTATCAAAATAATGAGTAATAAATATAGTAATACAAGTGCCATACTAGTAATATTGCTAGTGATAGTGGTAAAAGGCTAATACTCTTAAAGAAAAGCTAAATAAAGAGCTATAGTGCTTAGGTTTTGTTACATATTCTTATTTCTTTAACAGTGCAATATCTGTAGGAAAAATGACTTTGTTTGGAGCTCCCTAACCCTAATCCCCTTTCCTCATTGAAACAACTGCTTTTATAATATAATTTTGGATAACATGAATTCATAAAAACATATTTATCATGCTATATTGAATAAAAGTGTACTATAGAATTGTCACTATCTGTTCCCCCAAAACCAACAGCACTCCCTACCTACACAGTATTAATAGCCGCTCCAGCAACAGGAGCCAGGTGTCAGGAATGCTGAAATGAACATTACAGAAATAAAGGCATAGGTGACCAGTGCCTGCCCAAGGAACTTAGCAGAGGACATAAGGAGCATTTCCTTCACCACAGTGCTCTTCCATAATGATATCCTAAAAATAATAAACAAGCTGGGGGAGGGGAGAAGGCAGCAGATAGATCTGGAGGAAATCCTTCATCTACAGTGAGAATGGATAAAGTGACTACAGGCTAGAAGACAAAAAAATCCAGTATATTACTGTGCTGGAACTTTCATCATAAGTCTGGGTCCATTCAATGGAATAATTTCCAATAACCAAAAAGAGCCAAAGCTGGTAACCAAAACTGAAAATGTTTGCCTCCAGAAAATAATTATACATCTCAGCAGTAGAAATCACTGTTGCAGAGGAAAGAGCAAGCCGTGAAATCTGGTTAAGCCAGACTGGAGGACTAGAAAATGGGAGCGGAGCAAATGGAAGCTCCGGCAGGGCAAACTAGTACCAGCAGATGGGCCCACACACAGCTTCAAGGAGGTGTGCGGTCACGCTTGAGCATGTTACGGGACCCTGTGATGCTGGAAAATGTGGAGGCAAGGAAGACTCAAAGATGGGATACAAAATGATACAAGAACAGGTAAAAAAGAGAAGGGTAAAGGAAAAGAAAGAAGGCAGAGGAAAAAAGTATTTCCAGAATTTTTACAAATAATTCAAAAAACATGCCTAGCTATCAAGAGTAATGGCATCAAAAAGCACTTCTAAATCAGTTGCCAAAGCATTTCTCACGTCTTATGAAAAAGTTCTAAAAGCACACTCACCAAAAAATGAAAGGGAATTTAAAGATACATAAGGCAAAAATAGCACTAAATAAGTATCAAACGATGTCAGTATCTTAGAATTTGCTTCATCCTCTGTTCTAAAGAAGCTTGGCCACAAGAGCAGTCACCTTTTAAACTTTCCCCCCAAGATAAGGGTACCCAGAATGTGATGCAGCCATTAAAAATGCTGACACAGATCTACATTTACTGAGACGTGAAAACGGCCCTGAAGTTTAAATGCAAGCTGCAGCTCACGCCCGCGCCCAATGCCTCCGCAGCCTAAGGCCCACCCTGAAGCCGGCCGCGAGCGGGCCTGGGGCCCCGCCCACGCAAGCCCTCGACGCGCACCTGCGCGGCCCCGCCCTCCGGGACCCACTGAGGCACCCAGACGCCCGAGCCCGGAGGACCGGGCGGGCTCCGCGTGAGAACGGGACTCGGGATCAGCACCCGTCAGGGGCGGCGGTACGCGGGGAAGTCGAGGCCGCGCCCGCGGAGAGCCGAGCGCCGGCGCGCGTGCTGGACGAGGCGGCCCGCCAAGCGCGGCCACAGACGGCGGCGGCGGGCGGGGGCGACGCGGCCGCCCTGCGCGCCTCTCCGGCCCGCGAAGGTCGGCGGCGGCAGCGAGACCGGCTCAGCGGCCCGCGGCCCCGCGCGCCCTGCCCATCCCGCCCGCTCTCCGCTCTCCCTCACCCGCAGTGTCGTCCGCTCGCTCGCCCGCCCGCAGGCCCACTTCGGGACGCCCCGCTCCACGAGCGACGCCGCGACAGGCACTGACCGGCAACGCTCCGCGGCCGCCGCGCGCCCGCCCCTTTGTGACGCCCCTTCCAATCGCTTGCCGGCGCTCACATCTCCCTCCAATCAGCGGGGGCGCAGGCGGGGTCTGGACGCCGGACGCCAGCGGTTGCTCGGAATCGGGACTCCTTGGCGTCCGGAGCTTGTTGTCGCTTACGAGAGGCCCGGATGTTGACTCTCTATTGCTAACAGCGACCACCTGACTCCGGCCCAAGCGGGCAGCTGAGGGCCAGCCGCACAGCCTGCTGGGAACGGCGGAGTTGGCGCCCAGTGGACTAGGGCTGGGGGGCGCCTTCGCTGACACCCACCGAAGGCCCTCTTGGGGTCCCAGGCAGACGCTGTCCAGTCGTTCCGAGCTGGCCTGCGCTGAACAAATTCCCTTTCCTGGGCTTCTCCATCCCCTAACATTTCTGGCCTCAATTGCCTCGTCTGAAAAATGGGGACATTACCATGCCTGGTTGAAGACAAGGACGAAAGTAGATAACAGTCCACCTACTGAGGACTGTAGTGGTAGAGTGGGCATTCTGGCTCAAATGCCAGCGTTCGGTAAGCCCAGCCACCCTTCGTTCCTGCTGCAGCTTCCAAGCTGCTGAGCTGGGGTGTAAACCGTGGGCTCCCACTTCTTCATTCCCCACATAGGTGGTTCCTAATAGATTTTCCAATTCTGTTAACCTGTTTAACTAGGTAGATTACTCAAGTGACAATGAATGTAATCTCCCCCACTGCAGGTTCACTCATGCTCATCACTCAATTTGTGACTCATAGGAACCTGTCTAAGATGAAACTGAACACCTGACGTCTGTCTCCCATCCTCTCTCCTGAGATTGATCCTACCAACTAACTTATCTCCACAGTTCAAAAAACTACTGTGCATACCCTGGGGTGTACGGTGAAACACTGAACTTTCATTCCTCTTTCGCCACTGGTTCCTTCTGAACACATTGACTGCCGCAGTAGAAAAAAATGAAACGATCCTTTCTAATTTAATGAAAAATTTGTTATTTTGTACTGTTTTCTGTGCGTCAGTTATATGCAACTCAGGCGATGCTAAAATCAATTTTTACACTGCACGCCAATTGAGTTTTATGTGACTCATGACATACTTACTGAATTTGTTTTGGAGAACTGAGTCTTCTTATGCTTCACAAAGCCCCAGGCTCAAAACTAGCGTGAGTTAAACACCACTTGCATAGCAATTAATATGTTACATTCTATGCATGCTTAATGATAAATAGATTGGAGACCCTGACCTAGGGAACAGAAGGAAGATGCACGAAATGAATAGGGAAAAGGAGTAGGTAACTAGTAAGTACCCTCTTCTGCCACTGGGTGACTCAAAGCAGAGTAGGGCAAACAGCTGACCTGTGGGAGCTGTACAAAATCTTTGATTCTGCATATAAGTAATTCCTGATCTGATCAAAGAATGCCCAAGGAAGACATTAGTGACTTTAGGATTGGTGAGGCGAACCTGGCTGGCCTACAAAATTGTGCCATGATTACAGACTGAATACTCAAAAGCAAGACAAAACTGCACAGAGAAACAAAGACTGGAACAGGGGTGAGCAATCCACGGGGCTAGCGACTACTGCACTGGGTACAGAACATTCCCATCAGTGCAGAGTTCTATGCAGCAGCACACTGTAGAGACTGATATTCCCATCCTCAGCACTTCTATTACCTGGGTTCATTCTGCTGCCTCTACAAGACAAGGATGAAAATGGATGCCTTAGAATAAGGGTCAGCAAACTGTTTCTGTAATGGGGCAAATAGAAAACATTGTAGGCTCCGTGGGCTATCCAGTCTCTGTCACAATTAACTCTGGCACTGGAGGTAGGATGAAAGAAGTCACAGACAACACATACATAAATGGGTGTGGCTGTGTTCCAATAAAACTTTACTTACAAAATCAGACAGTGGAGGGTCACAGTTTGCCAAACCTTGCCTTAGAGGACTTGTAGAAGCATCTTCAGAATTCAGTAGAATCAGTGGAAACCTCCTCTCGCATTGCTAAGACTTATGAAGGATAAACTCATTTTCTTTCTCTTTTACTTGCCCAAGCCCTAAGTTAGGGCTTCTATCCATGTAATAAACACTCCTGGTCATCTGTCTTACATTTGCTACCTTTGAGTTTCCCTGCCCACCATGAAAACCACAAAGAGATTTCTTCTCTAATAAGGCCTAAATCATACTGTGACCACACCCAGGTGAATTAAAACAAACTATAATTAAAAACAAAACAACCACTGTGAAATATTTATTTTTGTTTCAGATTAAGCATGATTAAAACCAGTGCAAAAAAATACTAAGTACATTGGGTAAAAGGTGAGCTAGCTGTTTTAGTATTTGCTTTTTGTAATCCAGTTAAGACCATGAGTATATAAGACATCATCACTAACTTAAGGATGTAGCTGAAGGATAAGACATGAACACCCTGTATGCTCTAATGGCCTCCAAAGGCATTCAGGGGATCATCAAATATGCTGGACACCTTGTGTTCAGATCTTGATTCAGGTGCTGCTTGTGCAGATCGACTTTTTGGTTTGGTTGTCTTAGCTTGGATACCAGAGGAGAAGATATCATCTTTAAAAAGAAAAAAAAAAAGTTGTTAAACAGGCAAGAAAATGGGTGCTTTTAAGACACATCCGAACAAAGCTCCAAAGACCCAATTCTGGAAACAGTATGGGTACCCAAAGACACTAATATAGAACTCAAGCTTCTTAAGATTCTGCTCCTTGCTCTGTTAGTAACTAAATTTTATGATTACATGAAAGTCACAGGTTCTTTTTGAGCACAATTTTCTCAGCTATAAAAATGTGTGTAGTGCACGTACAAGAGAGGAAAAAGGGAAGGAAACCTGGATCTCCAACTCAGCCCATGACCTTACTATCTGTGATACCGGACTTATTTCTACATTCTTTTCACACTGGTTTTAAAATGAAAGTGTGATAAAAATATAAAAAGGAAAATCCAATATAGGATCTACCCTCTTTCAGAGTTCATGGATTTGAGGCATTTCAATGATAAGAATGTCTCTGTGACTACATTCGTGTTTAGTGTTTCACTGACTCTAAAGTTCATCTCAGTTGTTACTTACCCAGTAATGCTACTGCTAGGATTCTATACTATTGTGATTTTAGCATATGTACACAAATCTTAAAGACCACAGCCTTATTGGTAATAGAGCAACCTTAGAAACAATGTACATCATCACCAATAGGTTAATGACTAAATAGAAAGTAGTACTATACAATCACTAAAAACAAGTAGATCTCTATGTACTGACATAAGAAGACATTAAGTGGCTAAAAGGAATAGCAGAGATAAAGGATATTCTTTTTTAAATGGGTATATATTTATATGTACACAAACATTGATATCATCAAGTCTGAAAGGATATACACCAAACTGTTAACCCCTGGTTATCTCTAGGCATTGTTTTTCACTTTTTACATCTTCTGAATTATATAAATCTATTACAATAAGTATGTACTACTTTTTTTGTAATAAAAGAAACAAATGAAGTCTCTTCCACACCCTGTGTAGTGAGAAGCAGGGGTAGACAGAGCACACGGCTGCGTGAACAGACCCAGTGCGGCTCTGCAGCACCAGCCATCTCCTAGTTAGCCTCAAGGTCTAGACTGGGGTTGGGGTTGGGGTGGGGTGGGAAGCGTGTATTTGGCCTCAGCCCAAGTCCTCTCTACCAACACAGGTGTATCAGAGGCCCAACATGTAGGATTATCAGACATTTAGCTTGCCTATTAACAAAGTAGAAGTTGTACTACGAAGGGAAGACACAAGAGATGCAAAGTCTGTTATAACCTACTTCCCTGTGTAGTCCTGCCCTCCTGCACGGACCACTGAAACTCTCTAGCTGGGACTCTGACCCAACCAACTGCACCACACCCAAGGCAGCCACTTCAGCGTACATTAGCATGTGGAGTAGTTTCTGATCCATCCTCCTTTCATAACATCAGTGTTTGTCACAGATGATTGGCAGGGTACACTAAGATAAAAGTTAAATTATACTTAAAGCTCAAATTTTGAGTACCTTCAAATTCCTTTATGTCCACCATACCAAGGTTCTTCACCAAAATGACTAGTCCATTTAGTTATCCAGCCTCACCCTAACTCAGGATTACATAGTAGGCAGAAGGAAACCCACCAGGAAACCCATTTTCCAGGAGAGAGCCACGCAGGAGAAATACCAAGTAACAGAACTGTAATGATTCTCTAGGTCAATGTAGAAAACCAAACTTACCCATATCGTCATCAAATATAGACTTAGCTTCCACTTTCTTTTTGGACTTTTCTTTTGGTTTCACAGTTAGGTCAGCAAAGATATCAATGTTATCATCAAATAAGTTGGATTCCAATGTTCTCTCCTTCTCTCTTGTTTTATGAGAGGGTTTAATTGCTTCTGTAGCAAATATATCATCCTTGTTATATCAAAAAACAAGTAAAATAATTATAAATCATTTTTATTTTATTTATTTATTTATTTATTTATTTATTTTGAGACAAGAGTCTCACTTTGTTGTCCAGGCTAGAGTGAGTGCCATGGCGTCAGCCAGGCTCACAGCAACCTCAAACTCTTGTGCTCAAGTGATCCTCCTGCCTCAGCCTCCCGAGTAGCTGGGACTACAGGCATGTGCCACCATGCCCAGCTAATTTTTTCTATATATATCAGTTGGCCAATTAATTTCTTTCTATTTATGGTAGAGACGGGGTCCCACTCTTGCTCAGGCTGGTTTTGAACTCCTGACCTCGAGCAATCCACCCGCCTCGGCCTCCCAGAGAGCTAGGATTACAGGCATGAGCCACTGCGCCCAGCCATAAATCACTTTTTAAAACTAAATACACTTACTTCAACAAGCTGTGGAAATGTAAACTGCTGGGGTGCTTGGGAACAGCCACAAAACCTGCCCCCTTTGCCTGGAATGCAATACCCCAGATCTCTGCACGGCTTGTTCTTGCACTTTCTTCTAGTCTCAGCTCAAACACCACCTCTGCAGTGAGCTCGTCTCTCCCAGTCCTATCTGAAGGAGTGCCTCCCATTCCTCCTTACCACTCCACCCCAGGTTATTTTCTCCATGATGCTTAGTGCTATTTGAAAACATCATAATTACCTATTGCCCTGTTTGTACTCGATTCTCCTCCCTGAGGGCTCTGGGAGCAGAGTACTTGCCTCATTCACCTTGAGCCTACAGTTCCCAGATGCTCTATAAATATATCTGTTGAGCGAATGCCACTGAAGGCCATATTGCCTGCACTAAATCATCAGCTCCAGCCAGGGCCTATTTCCCCAGAACCAGAGGTTAAAACACTCAAGCTGGACCAATATGACGTTATGTATGTCACAGAGCAGCATGCAAGAAACCTGACTGCAGCAACAGTCTATAAAAATAACAAAATCAAACTATAAAAACTACAGAATTCAAAACCTTCACCAATGATTATGGCCAGCCAAGAACTACCCCCTAAATGAAACAAATAAAAAAAAACATCCCAATTCTGAGTAAATTTCAGCCTTATTAAAAAAGCTTAGTTATAATTATTATACCTAAGCAAGTAGATATCAGACATGCATGACATACAAGTTTAATGTAATCTATGGACCATATGAGCCAATCAGGTATTTTCCTTAACACAGAACCAGGCACAAAAACGTGTTATATCCTATTACCTCAAAAATATCTTGTGTTTTTGATATGACATCCTGCGGACTGTTGGATTTTGACTCTTTCTTCTTGCCTTTCTGATCTGTAAAGAGATCGTCCTCATCTTCCAGGAGAGGAAAAGGATTTGCTTTCTTTGCTGGTTTTGGTTTAACAGACTGAAAGAGATCATCATCACTGCCTGCCTCACCTAGAGCAGGGGGCATGGTGCTTCCTTCTTTACCTCCCACTGGCTGGATGGCTGGGGTCTCTGCTGCTTTTGCCTTGGCCTTTGTTTTCTCCGTGCCCTTGGAAAAGATGTCCCCGGAATCAAAATGATCAGCCTCACCTCTGGAATGACCCAGAGACTTTGCAAAGGGCCTTCTGTCCACTCCATGCGCAGGATGGCCTTCCCAAGGTGGAGCAGCAGCTGCCTCAGCCTCCACAGAGCTGTCTTCTCCACTGGTGGCTCTGGGCTGTGGCTGGCAGCCATTTGGTGAAATGGCGCCGTCTGCCAACTGCGCCACGGCTCCTCTGGGGACACTCACATCCTCCGCCTCGCTGGACTCCTGGGCAGCCAGCCGCCTAGCTGCTCGGGTCTGCGGTCTGCGCTTCCCTCTCATTTTGACACGGCTCTGCAATAGCAAAAAGACACAGACTGATCTAATGATAAAGTAAAAAGTGTTCAAAGCTACCATAACAAAGAATTGGTGACTCAAATTATTGTAAGGTTATTGAGTCTACTTCAATCAAGATATTATATGAGACATATAAGAGGTTTTTTCTTAAAGATTTCCAGAGAAGGAGTTAAATAGCTCCTAATACTCTAAGCCATTCTTATTCCTTTTGTGTTCTACATTTTTTAATCTTTTGAGGGAAGTTTCAGTTCAGTTTCACACAAGCTTCACCTATTGCTAGAACCCTGGAAAGTCGGATGTTGGTGCTTTGTGTCCCATAGCCCTGCCTGGCCCCGGACTCTGCTCTTAATTTAAATGTGGGTTTAAAACAAGAAACAATCATGGAATTCTGGTACTAACCTTTGTTAGGGAGCTAGTTTAAATTCAGGCTCTAGGAGCAGGGAGATATAAGACAATAATGAGAAGTAATCTAAGCTGCTGTTTTCTTCATAAATTCAAATGTGAAATATTTCATGTAAAAAATATGGCTTAGGAATCAGAACCTGTAATAAATATAACCTCAAAAGACAAGTCACTTGATAGCAATGATGCAGTGTTTGTGATATTTTCCAAAATATATGTAATCAAGCAGAATTTTGAGAAGGTACAAACAACTTTGGGCAAAGTATTAACACTTGACTGTGTTTGCCTACTTCAAGGGAATATCACAAATAATTTTAGGAAGTAGCCAATTTAAACTTAACCAAAAAAAAAACTAATTAAAACTATAACAGAAAGAAGGATGTTTTATTTTGCATGGGGAAGACAGGTTTGGAAACACTTGAAATGAATGTATTTTCCAGGGGTAGGTCATCCGGGGTCTTGTAGCTTACTCAGAGATCAGCGAAGACTTTCTATAAGAGGGGAGACTTAGAAACAAGAAAACCAACTAAAATGAAAGAAAACCTCAAAGGGCTCACAGCCCAGTGAGGAGAGCCTGTGAAATGGTGTGATGGGCAGATCAGCCGGGGGGTTGCTAAGGAGGGATCTCAGAGAAGGAGTACAGAGCAGGGGCACAGAAGCAGGGATGTTTGAGCAGAGCTGTAGGTGGGAAGGCAGCAGGAGCTTGTGTGTTCAAGGAGTGACAACTCGTGTGCCTGGAGCTCAGCATGTGGTGACTGGTGGGACAGCTGGATGCACAGGTTGGCATTGATTGTAAAGGGCAAAATTACATCAAATCGAGAAGCCTAAATTTTCTCCTCTGGGCCAGCAGGAGGAGCAAGATGTGCTCTATGGTTAGAAGACCCCAGGGTGGCAGTGCCCAAGAGCTTGAAGGTAGCAGACACCAGCTGAGGTGGTAGGACTTCACCACAGCTACCGAGCAGAATGTAAATGTAACAAACGCAAGCTACAGACAAGCAGATGCAGAATTAGGAAGGAGAAAAGAATTAAGAGAGAGGAAAGGCCACAGGAGAGATGAGGTACCTCCTTCAAATGGGGAGTTAAAGTGAGACTACTGTGTGCAACTGATGGCCCAGAAAGAAGCAGGCACGTGTTGTGGTTAAGAAAAGAAAGAAAGAAAACAAGCAAGCAAGCAAGCAAAGATGGTTTCATCACCTTGTTTGCGCTGTGTAAGGTGTCTGCCTGAGCTGGAAGATCAAAACTCACGCCGGCCTCCCCACTCCCAGGAAGAGTGGGCACACTTTCCAGACCACAGTTCCTTGCAGGTTCAGATGAAGAAGCCAATTCTGGAGAAACACGCTTTGCTTCACAGATCTGGGGAGCCCCTGTAGGCAGCAAGGCCGCTGGGTTGATTGCTAAATTTGCCTAAAGAAGAAATATGAGACTCTGTATTTGTCCTTCAACACAGTGGTCTATGATCATTACTGTGACAGAGGACAAGACTCAGTACACATAACGTATAATACAAGAGAAGAGAAATGCAGGAAAATTGCCCGATCTAATCTCAGAATTAAACAGAGGGTCATACACCTGTGCCCACCACTGGGGTCAAAGAAAAGATGTTAAAGACACAGCACACAAGAAGCAACAACTAGGAGAAGGTGAAGGGGTTTGGAGGTAGGAAGAGATGAAAAAATGCTTGGCAGCAGCTGACAAAAGAAAAATCCAAAAAAGTGTATAGATGTAACAAGGCAGGCAATGAAGATTCCAGACGTGTTATAATTACTTGTATTTTCCCGATCCGAGTGGATGGTTCTTTGGTTTTAAATGGAGCGAGACCTGACGAGTCCTGTGTGAAATTACATTCAGTTAAATATCCATTGGGGAAATAGAAAGAAAAGTGTCTTTTATGCCTGTCAATCAATCTGTGATGGAGCAAGGCTGTCACTTTCTGTAGTGCTATAATGGGAAAGGCATTCAAATCTCTCCTGAGGTCTCAACATTTCACTGGTATCATTTCCCTTATGCCTCCTCTTCCTCCTTCATCACGTAAGAGGAAGGCTGTCAGACCATACGTAAATAGGAAGACATAGATGGTGGTTAAGATTCGTAAGAGTTGTAGTTTACCAGTGCACCAAAACCTGAGCACTTGGCAAAGTTTCCATGTTTGTAATCTAACACAGCAGATATCAAGGAACACACAAAAATTCACACACAGCCTAACATACCAGTTCTAAAAACAAAACAACCGGAGTACTGGAAACAGATGTGCTAGTCCAAGAGCCTCCCTTTCTAAGCTCAGGACAGCAAGGCCTCAGTGAGACACCCAGGGACACCTGCCTGCAACACTGGTACTCACTCCTGGCCCTGGCCTCTCCTGGGACAGAGAAGACTGCTGTGGAGGGAGGCATGACAGCAATAATCTCAGGAGAAGCAATACTGAGGGGCAACCAAGAAATCAGATGTAATTTATATTTAATTCTATTCCAAGGGAAGCCCAGAGGGAGCAGTAAAAACTCTGGTGGGAATAAGATTCTTCATCCTACCTTAACTCCATCTTAAAATCTAATCTGGCATCAAATCCCAGAATAGTAACAATTAAGTGTAGCTTCATGAGACTCTGGAGTGTGGAGTGAGGAGAGGGGAGATGAACATGGGTAAAAGAGAACAGCGAAGGGAGGTCTGAGTGACTGGAGTCTGTGTAATGCATCTCTCTGCACTGGGATGCAGAGAGAGCTGACGATCCTTAGAGAGGTCGGTTCTGACCTGGGCTGTTTCTGGCTTCCAGATGCTTTTTTCTTTGCTACCTTGAGTGGATTCGGAATGTTTCTGGTTTTTGGAAGAGGAAACAGAGTGTTCTTTTTTCACTACTCTCTTTTTTTCTGGAACCTTCAAAAGAAAAATAATACCAAAATTCTGTCAAATATCTTAGAGATTTAAAGAAAAATCATAATGCAAAAAAAGGAACCTGGCTTCTGAGTTTTAAAAGTCCTTTCTCAAATGAGGGTGGAACTAACTCAAAGGCAGCATTTCGGAGACAGTATTCTAAAGACTGTGACTGTCACAGGAGCCTCTCAATGATAAGAAGAAAACCTACTGGGAGCCGGGCGCGGTGGCTCACGCCTGTAATCCTAGCTCTCTGGGAGGCTGAGGCGGGTGGATTGCTCGAGGTCGGGAGTTCGAAACCAGCCTGAGCAAGAGCGAGACCCCGTCTCTACTATAAATAGAAAGAAACTAATTGGCCAACTAATATATATAAAAAAAAAAAAATTAGCCGGGCATGGTGGCGCATGCCTGTAGTCCCAGCTATTTGGGAGGCCGAGGCAGGAGGATGGCTTGAGCCCAGGAGTTTGAGGTTGCTGTGAGCTAGGCTGACGCCACGGCACTCACTCTAGCCTGGGCAACAAAGTGAAACTCTGTCTCAAAAATAAAAAAATAAAAAAACCTACTGGGACGGGGGAAAACCACACATGAACGCTAAAACTCAGATTTAAAGCTTTGCACCTGAACAGCACAAACAGTTACTATATTATATGCAATGGTCTTTCAATAAACCATTTCAAAATCAAACAAAACTTGTCAGAGAGCCTGGGTCAGTTAATGTTTATATGTTAGTTTAGAGAATGTAAGATGGGGAACACCACAAACTGAGAGTTGCATCCTCTGTACATGCTCCTATCAGCACGTTATTTGCTGCTCATTTATTAGTAAGCACCAGGATTCTCTGTGGATTTTCCTTAATCATTTAACACCACACAAATTTCCTTTCCCGAAAGTTTTCCCACCCACTCCAGTATGGAGAAAAGGCTAGTACCAAAGGCTGGGACTTGGCAGAGCTGAAAAGATCATCATCTTCATCATCCCCAAAGAGGCTCCCAACACTTGGCTCTAACAACTAGAAAAGACAACACTGAAATTCAATATCCAAAACAAAAACAATTTACAAAGAGAGCTAGGTTGAGATAATATCCAATACAGTAACAAAGCTATGATGTGGGGAACCATTTGGAGCTGACCTTGGTTTTTTTGGTGCCAGCAAAAAGGTCAACATCTGGGTCATTGTCCTTCTGGAGTTTGTGGCTGAAAAGGAGCTCTTCATCCAGGAAGACACCTGTGCTCTTGGGGCGGGCATCAGGATAGTGGCCCTGGGAAAAAGGGTGAAGGTCACATGTGATTAGAGTGCTAAGATTTATCTCAAGGGAATCACACACATGCAAAGATGATGTAATAAAGATGTCCCTGCAGCTTTGTTTGCATTGGCAAAAGGCTGGCCACAGCCTAAGGGCCAATCAGTAGGAAAATGACACATTCACACAACGGAATACTATGGAGGTATCAAAAATAATGGAGAATATATTTATAAATAACACATACATAATCTGGAAAGATCATCTTTCGACCTTGTGTAATGTCTGAATCTTCTATTTAAAGAACAATCCATTAGTTCCATAATGAGAAAAATTGGCGGGATAGAAACATATATATTTGAATGAGTTCTATCTCATTCCCAAAGGAAGAAAGAGCAGCTGACTCCATCTCAGAAACCACACAGGTCTACGGCCACACCACCCTGAACGCGCCCGATCTCGTCTGATCTCGGAAGCTAAGCAGGGTCGGGCCTGGTTAGTACTTGGATGGGAGAAACCACACAGAGCAGTAAAGTGTGTATCTCTAACCCGTCAGCACTGTAGTCCAAGGGCCTGGCACGGGTGTGACCACAAGCCTTCCCTGTGTCTGTCCATCACTTCTATTCTACCTTCAGGCTACAAGTGAATTTTTTGTTTGCTAGGATATCTGACATTTAAAAGTTACTACCAACATTACTTGGTTTGAATAATAAAATGCTCCTGACATTCTAAAATTCACCCCTATTTCATCTTTAGTACAACAATCACCGATTAACACAAAAACCCATACTTCTGACAAAATAAATCACATTAACAATTAACTAACAATTATTACTGTTAATACATAAAACCAGTTTAAAATAGCAATTAAGGTTAAAAAGTTTCAGAACTGTGGAAAAACAGTACAAAACTATACATAGTAAGAGACTGGGAGAACATATAACAAATTATTCATAATCAAGTAGGGTTATACTACTGGCGTAATAAAGAAAACTTATAAAACACTTTTTGTAGAAATCTATATGGACTATTTCTTCAGTTTGATATACAAAACACAATGGCCTACCAACCTGGTTTATTTTTTTAACATCTTTATTGAGATAAAATTCATACACCATAACTTTTACCCATTGAAAGTGTGAAATTCAATGATTTTTTAGTATAGTCACAGAGTTGTGCGACCACCACCACAATGTAAGTTTACAGCATTCTCATCATCCCCACAAAAAACTCCAAGCCATTAGTAGTCATTTCTCATTCCTGCTCATCCCCACCACCCCTAAGAACCTATTAACTAACCTATTTTCTGTTTTTATGGATTTTCCTATTCTGGACATTTCATATAAATGGAATCACACAGTATGTGGTTTTTTGTGACTGCCTTCTTTCATTTAGCATGTTTTCAAGGTTCATCCATATTGTGGCATGTATCAGTACTTCACTCTTTTTATTACCAGATAATATTCCATTTGTGGACACACTGCATTGTGTTTCTCCATTCATCAGTGGATGGACATTTAAGTTGTTTCCATCTTTTGTTTATTATGAATAACACCACTGAGAACAATCATATTCAAGTTTTTGTGTGAACATATGTTTTCATTTCATTTAGGTATATATCTACCCAAGAGTGGAATTCATGTGGTAATTCTATGTTTTCATAATTTGAAGAACTACAGACTATCTTCCAAAGTGGTTGTCCTACTTCACATTCCCAGGAGCAATGAATGAGGGTTTCCGTTTCTCCATATCCTCATCAACACTTTTCACTTTTCTTTTTTTAAATTATAGCCATTCTGATGGGTATGAAGTGGTAAGTCATTGTGGTTTTGATTTACATTTCCCTAATGCTGGGCATCTTTTCATGTGCTTTTTGGCCATTTGTACATCTTCTTTGGAGAAATATCTATTCAGATCTTTTGTCCCATCTTTTTTTTTTTTTTTTTTGAGACAGAGTCTCACTTTGTTGCCCAGGCTAGAGTGAGTGCCGTGGCGTCAGCCTGGCTCACAGCAACCTCAATCTCCTGGGCTCAGCGATCCTACTGCCTCAGCCTCCCGAGTAGCTGGGACTACAGGCATGCGCCACCATGCCCGGCTAATGTTTTGTATATATATATATTTTAGTTGGTCAATTAATTTCTTTCTATTTTTGGTAGAGACGGGGTCTCGCTCAGGCTGGTTTCGAACTCCTGACCTTGAGCGATCCGCCCGCCTCAGCCTCCCAAAGTGCTAGGATTACAGGCGTGAGCCACCGCGCCCGGCTGTCCCATCTTTTAATTGGGCAGTCTTGTTATTATTGATTTGTAAGTCTTTTACATATTTTGGATCAAAGTCTCTTATCAAATACATGATTTGCAACTATTTTCTCCCATTTTGTGCATTGTCTTTTTACTTTCTTTAAGGTATCCCTAAGCACAAATTTTTTCATTTTCATAAAGTCCAGTTTGGCTATTTATTCCTCTGTCAGTTGTGCTTTGGTTGTCATCTCTAAGAAGGCTTTGCCTAATCCAAAGTCATGATGATTTATTTACTCATATATTCTGTTCTAGGAGTTATAGAGTGTTAGTTCTCACTTTTGGATCACATGAGTTTATTTTCGTGTATGGAGTGGGGTAAGGGTCCAAGCTCATTCTTTTGCATGTGGATCATCAGCTGTCCCAGTACCAATTGTTGAAAAGACTATTTTATCCCCCATTGAATTATCTTGGCACCCTTGTTAAAAAAGCAATTGACAGCCAGGCACACTGGTTCACGCCTATAATCCTAGCACTTTGAGAGGCCAAGGCTAAAAAAAACCAAAAGCAATTGACTATAAATTTTAGAGTTAATTTGTGGACTCCCAACTCTATTGCACTGATCTATATATTTTATAGATATATTATAGATATTTATAGATATTTTATTTACACACACACAACCAGTACCACATGCCAGTACCACACTATCTTGAAGTAAGTTTTGTAATTGGGAAGTTTGAGTCGCCTAACTTCATCTTTTTTATGCCAGTACCTTATGCCAGTACCACACTATCTTCATCTTTTGTCGCCTAACTTCATCTTTTTAAGATTGCTGGCTCTTCCGGGTCCTGTGTACTTTCATAAAAATTTTAGGATCAGCTTATCCGTTTCTATAAAAAACAAGCTGGAATTTTGATAGGGACTATAGGGGAGTATTGACATCTTGACAATATGAAGACTTGTAGTCCATAAACATGAGATGTCTTTCCATCTATTTTAGGTCTTTAATTTCTCTCAATGTTTTATAGTCTCTAGTTTAAAAGTTTTGTGCTTCTTTTGTTATATTTATTCCTAAGTATTTTATCATTTCTGTGCTACTTGTAAATCAAAATGATTTCTTAATTTCATTTTCACACTGTTCATTACTAGCATATAGAACTACAACTGATTCTCATATACTGGTCTAATATCCTGCAATCTTAATGAATTTGCTTAATTAGTTCTAATAGATTTTCTGTAGATTCCTTAGGACTTTCTATATATTGTACCATGCCATCTGCAAGTAGACATGTCTCTACTTCTTCCTTTCCAATCTGGATGCCTTTTATTTCATTTTCTTGCCTAATTGCCCTGCCTAGAACCTCCAGTATAAGGCTGACTAGGATAAGGATATCCTTGTCTTTTTTATGATCTTAGGGGGCAAGTATCCAGTTTTTCACCATCAAGTATGATATCAGCTGCAGGTTTTCATAGATGTTCTTAATCAACTCGAGGAAGTTCCCATCTATGAATAATTTGTTGGGTGTTTTTATCATGAAAGGGTTTGGATTTTATCACAATGCCTTTTCTGCATCTATTGAGATGATCATGTGCTTTTTATCCTATATTTTATTGATACAGTATATTTTATCAATTGATTTTCAGATGTTCAACCAACTTTGCATTCCTGGAATAAGTCCCACTTCTCATGGTGTATAACCCTTTTTATATTCTGCTGGATTGGATTTAGTATTTTGTTGAGGATTTTGCCATCTACATTCATAAAGAATATTGGTATGTAATTTTCTGGTAGTACCTCTGTCTAGTTTTAATATTAGGATAATAGTAGCCTCAAGGAATGACCATCGTCTATTGGAACACAGTCATGCCCATTCAATTCATCTTCGTATCTTCCAGGACTGCTTCCATGCTACCAATGGCAGAACTAAGCAGTTATGAGAGAGCCCATATGGCTTGCAAAAGCTAAAATAATTACTATTTTACATGGTCCTTTACAGAAAAAATTTGCTGACCACTGATAATCATGACAGGTATATCTATAACACATATTTCTAACAATGAATGCTAGAAATATTTACATGTATAGATCTGGCCTAATTTCGCTTTCCTATTGCTCATACCCCATTAATTGGCCAAATGGTAAAGCTTTGTTGGGAGGAACAACAAGGTCTGTAAATCTCAGGAGAGGCAGGTAAAATTCTAATCCCCTATCCAATAATGCTACTTGAGGTAAGAGTCACTGATTTAGAATCCCAAACAACTAAATTACTGAGAAAAATCATTTATACTCACACTGAAGACTAAGATTGCTTCAGTAACTCACATGACAGATTTGACACCATTCTTTTATCTCATGTAGAGATGTGAACCTTTACTGCTTTTTGCTCACCTTTCCCACTTCTTTCTGTGGAGTTGGGATGCTGTTTTGATCTTCTGTTTTATCCTCTTCCTCATCAAACAAGCTAAGAACAGTTTTGGTTCTACCCTTGCTTCCTTTGTCCAATGAGGATGGTGAAGAAAATACATCAGAATGCTTGACTGCTTCCTGTGCAGATCCAGTCAAAAGTCCTTCCTGAAAATGAAAATATAAGGAAAAAAAATAACTGGAAATACAAATCCTATAATGGATGCCCCACCCCCACCCCAGCTCCTCATTAATTCATTAAGTGCCATATTTGCATGATTCAGGGCACTATAGCTAATCACATCTACTGCCAAGCAGCAAAATGCTGAGTTCAATTCTTGATTGGCTGCCCCAGTGGAGAGTCTGATCCATAGCGAAAGATAATTTTTGCAGTCAGTTTAAGGCCATGGGTCCTTCCCTCCTACCAAGAGATAAAACAGTTATAACCCTGACACATTAGTTGCTCATGAGCTAGAAAAAACTTCTCAGTAGTAGAGATAACACATGCCAACCACTGGGAGTGGGTCATATATTTCCTAGCATTTAATTAACACATAAGCCTAAAGGGGAAACCTACACAGTAAAATTAGAGTGCTTAAACTGCAGAAGGCCTATCCTGTATATGGAACTGACGAATCTCTAAAGTAATTTTAAAATGTAGCATTTATTCATTCAACAAGTACCACATTTCAAGTAGGATATCATTGATCATAAGAACTACTATTATTATATGTACCACCAAGAAAGAAAAAACACTACCAATTAAATATGCATTGAGGCCGGGCACGGTGGCTCATGCCTCTAATCTTAGCACTCTGGGAGGCCGAGTCGGGCAGATTGCTCGAAGTCAGGAGTTCGAAACCAGCCTGAGCAAGAGCGAGACCCCATCTCTACTATAAATGGAAAGAAATTAATTGGCCAACTAATATATATATAGAAAAAATTAGCCGAGAATGGTGGCACATGCCTGTAGTCCCAGCCACTTGGGAGGCTAAGGCAGGAGGATCGCTTGAGCCCAGGAGTTTGAGGTTGCTGTGAGCTAGGCTGATGCCACGGCACTCACTCTAGCCTGGGCAACAAAGTGAGACCCTGTATGTATGTATGTATGTATGTATGTATGTATGTGTATATATATATATATATATATATATATATATATATAAATAAATAAATAAGCAAGCAAGCACTGATTATGAGGTGCAGCCCAATTTCAGAGTGCTTAAACTGTAAAAAAAATATGCTTCTCTGAAGAAATGCATAATTTATAATAGTGCCTATTATATGCAAGGTAATATGCTAAGTGCTACAGACATGGCAGTGAGCAAAACAAACCTGGCACCAACCCTCAAGGAGCTCATCCTAGTGAAGGAGACGGCAGTAAGACACACAGTCAGAGTCAAGTGTGGACTGCGCTAGGACTAGGGTAACTCAGGTCCACACGCAGCCACTAGGAAGAGACTGTCACACGGTGACACAGGTACAAATAAAACACTTGCATCACTGGAGCTCTAAGGAGCCTCAGGAGGAAAAGTAAATGCAATGCTCTTCACATAGACCCTGGGAGGAAGATTAAGCCTAAGCAGCTGGACACACAAGAGTACAAGAAAAATGACCAAAGAGAAGAGGCGCACAGAGACTGAAGGTAACCACGAGGCTGCTGCCAGGCGTGGCCAGCAGCGTTCCCACAGGCCTCCTGCAAGAGGTGGCAGCCCACTCAGAAATGAAAGATAGTGTTTCAGAAAAAATACAAATTTTACTCTATTCTATGATGCATGTAACTCATCAAATAAACATAAAAAATGCTAAGCTAAACTAAAATCTTCTTAAAGGAGTCTGATACCAGCCTGAGCAAGAGCAAGACCCCATCTCTACAAAAAATGGAAAACTCAGCCAGGCATCCTGGTGCACGCCTGTAGTCTCAGCTACTTGAGAGGCTGAAGCAGGAGGATCTCTTGAGCCTAGTTGGAGGTTGCTGTGAGCTAGGATGATGCCATTGCACTCTAAGTGGGATGACAGAGCAAAACTCTGTCTCAAAAAAAAAAAAAAAAAAACCATGACATTTTAATTGAAGTACAGATGGGGACTAAAGGAGAACCATGAGTAAGAAAAATGCTACAGAGAAGAGAACAAGTCAGAAAGAGCAAAGACGCCAGGCCATGCCAGTAAGAATGTGAAGATGTTATGTTCATGCATCCTAAAGAAGCACAGGACAGCAGTAGGAAAACATAAAGGAAGATATGTGTGTGTGTGTGTGTGTGTGAGTGTGTTTTAAAAACAACATATGAGAGGCATTAGAGTAGACAAGAGAAAAAAATCCACCTTTTCTGACTCCTCAGCCAAATCAGTTTTCCCAAATTCTGGTGATTCTTTGGCACTCTCAACCTTCTTATCCACAGGCTTCACTCCAAACGGTGCTTCCTTCTCTTCTTCATCGTTAAACAGCAAAGGTGGTACTACAGGAACAGTTTCTTTTTTCTATCAAAAAAAGAGCAAATGACATCCCCAACAATAAAAAAGTGTGCCTGACTAGCACAGCAATGCACAGAACAAGCCCAAACCAGTCCTTGTAGGGTGTCAGCTAAATGTGGTGGTGGGAGCAGACAGGACAATGAAATAGCAAAGGTGGCACCAACAGGCCCCTCACATGGGGCGTCTTGCGCCACCACACCGATGACACCTGTCTCCTCATGACTATCGATCCCGTACCACCCTTACTCAGGTCCTCACCTCTGCCAGCAGACAGTTCCTGGTCTCTCTCTCTGCCTTGCTCCCCTACATCACAACATAAGACAGCATCGAGCCGTCCTACTAAAACAGAAAGGCCTGCCACGTTGCACCATCTCCACCCCAAACCTATGGTCTCTGCATGAAGCAAATGGCAATCTACAGACACCCCAATAAGCTGTCCCTCTGCTCATCTGCACCCCCTCATTCCTTGCTATTCCTTAAACATACTGCAAACTTTCACACCGTGCTGCCCTAGTGTCTGCAGACACAAACTCTCCCCTCCTTTCCAGCAAGCCCAGCTCAGATGTCACCATGAAGGTCTCCCTACTCTCTTCAGTAAGTGTCAACTGCTTCACTGGATAAGCATATTATTTATATCTCTACTTGGCCCTTACTTGACTTTCCTCCTAACTTAATAACAACCAGCACACATCTGTTTGTCCACTCATCTGTACGGAGCATATACTATATTTCCCAGCCGGTCACAACATTTTACACCGTGTCAGTGCTCAACACAAGTTTGCAAGTACTTCGACCCATCTCTCATCTCTCTTTTATCTGGCAAGCAGGGACTTAGAGACCAGAAAACTGAGGTAACGTGACTTACCTAGAGTTATCAGCATCCTTGGGGCAAGTGACTTATCAACAAGTTTTTGAGAAAAAAACTAAAACTCTATCACACTAATCAGACTAGATGCTACGAGAAAAAGCACACCCCAAAGCAGTGCCTAAATCAAGCTAGGAAGGCAGATTTCGGAAACTAAAGGAGGACACTACTAACCATGACAGAAAAAAGTGCCAAATGAAAGAAGAATGGGCTAAGGGGATCTTTTAGTTATTGTTAGGAAGAGATCCTTAAATGTAAAATTATTTGAACATGATATAATAAAAGACTGCAAGTTCATGAAGAATTTCTGGACACATAAAGCAACAATGAAGTGATTAAAGGAAAAAATTTTTGTGCCACATGAGGGACCCATGAAAATTACATAAAATTTTAATGTAACAAGTTAATTGGGGAGGAAAAAAAGAAACTAAATATGTTAAAACATATTCTCTTGTCATATAAACCAAGGAAAATGCCACCCAAAGTAATACTTTTTTTTTTTTTTTGAGACAGAGTCTCACACTATGTTGCCTGGTGAGTGAGTGAGTGCCGTGGCGTCAGCCTAGCTCACAGCAACCTCAAGCTCCTGGCCTTAGCAATCCTTCTGCCTCAGCCTCCCGAGTAGTTGGGACTACAGGCATGTGCCACCATGCCTGGCTAATTTTTTCTATATATTTTTAGTTGTCCAGCTAATTTCTTTCTATTTTTAGTAGAGACTGGGTCTCCCTCTTGCTCAGGCTGGTCTTGAACTCATGAGCTTCAGTGATCCTCCTGCCTCGGCCTCCCCAAGTGCTAGGAATACAGGCGTGAGCCACCACGTCCAGCCCAAAGTAATAGTCTTAAGTCTTCCTGGAGATTAGCTGACTCCTCACCCTTGTCATGAAATTTATTTCTTGACAGGTGTCAGAAAGGGAAAATCTGAAGAAAAATTTAGACGGCAAGTGTGAGGTCTAAAACGGCCAGTTTGACTGTGTGGGGTAATAGAGACGAGGCCCATGCATTCCTCCCCGGCAGTTTCACTGTCAGCTATTTCACTGGCACGGACTGATGGACACCCCTCTCTACCAGATGTGACGCAAAGGCAGAACAGAATCCGTCATCCTTCTCCAGACCCTACGACGCCTGCATGCTCATTAACCTTTGACTCTGTATCTGTTAACCACACACTCGCTTTGTCTCATGTATGATGTCACTGAGCACCAAACAGAATCATTAAGACTGTCTTCTTTGCCTCCCTGACCCCTCCTCCCATTCTATGTAACAGAACATATACACACTGCACCTTGTGCAGCCCACTCTGGGCGCACTCTTGTGTCTCAAGGTTGGCTCAGAATAAAACTAACTCACTTTAAATTTTTTTAAGTTTTAGTACCTGTTATTTTTCAGTTGACATAGGCATACAACATGGTCACATTTAACTTACTTTAACATATCTCTAAACAAAAAGTATTTTTATCTACTTATCTCTTAACCTTCTGATTTATTTAATAATCAAATAACCATAGATTGAAAGAAGTCTTCCATTTCCAGAACCTTTAAAATTCACTAAATTCTTGCTCATTTACCCTCCAGTGTAGATTATTTGTAAGTTATAAAGAAAAACCACTCTGGTAGGCCAAGGCGGGAGGATTGCTTGAGGTCGGGATGAAAACCAGCTGAGCAAGAGTGAGACCCCATCTTACTATAAAAATAGAGAAATAATTGGCCACTAATATAAATATAGAAAAATTACTGGCAGGTGGCACATGCCCTGTAGCACCCAGCTACTCAGGAGGCTGACGGCAGGAAAACGCTGAGCCCCAGGACGTGAGGTTGCTGTGAGCTAGGCTGAGACAACAAACAGCACTCCACTCTAGCCTGGGCAACAAGTAAAAGCTACCTGAAACACGAAAGAAAAGACCGTCTCCTGACTCTTTTAACCATGGAGCCACTGGATGTCCTCATTAGCAAGATATGAGTACAGATGATCTGAGGAGGGGACCACAAGGCCCTCAGAAGCAGCAGCAGGGGCTGGCTGCATGCTTCCCCAGGGCTGACAACTTCCAGCACAAGCTGTGCAATCCCGAGTAAGGCTCTTCTTCCACACCTCCTAGATACTTTGTGTTTAAAGCTTATTTTTAATTCCACAATAATGCAAGAATGCTTTCTTTAAAAAGGTTTAAAAAATGTATACAGAGTATAAAGTCTCCATTCCATACCCTTCCCTAGATGTGATCAATGGTAACAATCCCTTCTGGCCTGTTTCTAGGCATTCACATGTATTTTTTTATTATTTAAATGAGATTTAAAGACAAAAAAAATTTTTATGCATCTTTTTTGGTCCTATAGCGTATTTTTCATTCTTCCCACTATATAGTATTCCACAGTGTAACTGTACCAGTACTGTGCGACCTTAAGTTTCATACATGTCATAACACATGTGAGAATTTCCTTTTTACTGATTAGCTACTAATAGAAAAAACCAAGTTTCTATGAGTACTTGAAATAGACTCCTGATGGGAATAATCTGGGCCTTAACTAGCCTAGTCTGATGCCAGCAGAATTCCATGCCCCTCCAGCTGAGTCCCCTCTGAGGCTCAGTTTCTTGTCCCTACACCTGACAATGAAAGGGCTGTATGACATGTAGGAATCCTTTTCTCTACGCTCTGCCCTGTGCTTCATCTGTAGAATACCACTAACCAGATCTCTTTCTAAAACTAGTCAAGGAAGTTCTCCCCTAAGACTCAGTTCTCCACAGTCAGCTCTGAAGAGCTGGTTAGTGCAAGCGCCACTATTCATGCAGCACAACCTCAAGGACATCTCCTAGGTCTGTGAGAGTAAGATACCGTTGCTGCAGGAGGAACAGACGTGGGTGGAGAGCCAAACAGAGAGCCTCCACTGTCAGCATCGTCTTCAAAGAGGAGTGACACTCTCTGGGTCTTCTTTTGGCTACACAAACAAACACAAGGTCAAATTAAAGACAAATGTGATACTTTAGAAAACAAAAATAAAAACAATATTCCTTCCAGGCCACACCTACAGAAACTCATTTACCACCAAAACACCCCAATTATCAGTTGACCTTACATAGTTGAAAGCAAACAGAAAAGACCTTTTAAGTAGGTGAAATCTGTCTCTAGCAAATCATCAGCCTCTGTCTCTTACTCTCATGTCGAACAGTCCAGGGCCCTCCTCACCTTGCCCCTTTCCCATTGCTGCCCGCGCAGTGCAGGTGCACTGGCACATGACAGTGCTGGCATCCACCAGCACGGCATCCTCCCTCACCACTTCCTACAGCACAGGGAGAACCACAGAGTGGACGTGCCTATTTCCAGAGGTCAGGAAAGCAGTTGCCAAAAGAGATCACAGGACCAGGGCAAGCTTCAGGAGGTGACCTTGTGGCCTGGCTTCTATTCCTTTTTTCTTACTAGCTTTATTGAAATATAGTTTATATACCACAATATTAATCCTTTTAAAGGATTTGGCAGTTTTTGGTATACTCACAGAGTTGTGCAACTATCACAATCTAAGTTCACAACATTGTTGTCACTCCAAAAAGAAATTCCATGCTTATGAGCAGTCACTCCCTCTTCTCCCAATCCCCTAACCCCTGGCAACCACCAATCCGTTTTCTTCTCTATGGGTTTATCTATTGTGGACATTTCACATAAATGGAACCATACAATATGCAGTCTTCTGTGACTGGCTTGTTTCAAGTTACTTAAACTTTTGGCTATTATTAATAATGCTGCAATAAATGTTCATATACAAGTTTTTGTATGAGCTTATTTTAAATTTCTCTTAAGTATACACCCAAGAGTGAAATTATTGGGTTATATGGTAACTCTACATTTAACATTTTGAGGAAATGCCAAACTATTTTCCAAAGTGGCTGCACCATTTTACTTTTGCCCCAGCAGTGTATGAGGGTTCCAATTTCTCCATATCCTCACCTAGACTTATTGTTGTTTGTATAAAGCTTCTTTTGAGATCTGATGAAAACTGTAAGTTATTTCCCATACACAAAATTTTATAGACAACTTCAGGAACAGGAGGTAGAATGAGTGTGGAGCAGGGAAAACATTACTGAAGGCCAGGCATTGTGCACGGCTGTGACCAGGACTCAGAAATGAGACACACTTCCAATTGCAAAACTGATGGCCGTGTGTGTGTGTGTGCGCGCGCGTGTGTTGCGGGGGATTGGGGAGCACACATGTAAACAGATAATTTCACAATAGTGTAGAAAATGCTCAACTGCAGTAAGGCCACAGGGCCGGCATAGGAAGGAGGAGCCCCATCTGTGCTAGATTCTCCCCCTATTTCTACTCTTTCTCATCCATCTGGGGTGAGGAAGGCTTTTAAAGGGAAGACTTACACTGAGTCTCAAAAGAAGCTGGCCAGGTAAGACAGGAAGACAACTGCCTCAGAAGACAACAACAAAAATAAAAGAATGAAGTATTTCCCCTATACTAACGATGATAAATGGTGATATGTGAGTACACATAGTGTACAAACTACTATGCTAAACATTTCACATTTAGATTTCATCTAACCATCTCACCAATCCTATGAGAGAAGTACTATTATTATTTTTGCTTAACAGATGAGGAAACAGAGGCACAGAGAAGTTAGGTAGCTTGCCCAAGGCTATTCAGACGGGAACTGGGAAGGCCAGAATTTAATATCAGGTATTGGGATTCCAAGTGTCAACTGTGGGGGCCTAAAGTAGAAACGGTGATGATTGAAAAGATCACAATATTTGAAGATAGAAATTTCAGATACTTTCAGTCTATGAAATAAAGCTTAATTTAACCACACCAGTGCATAACATTTATGTGTCTAAATAATTGCCTCTTTATGCTACAACCATATGGTTGAATTTCCAAGTAATGGTATAAGGCTCTCAAAAGGAGAAAAGAGTATTTACAGGCAAGTTATTCTGAATCCACAAGCTAATCTGGTAGCATGTTATACCAACCACAGGTCATGCTCACTCTGAATATCTTGCCCGCTTTAGTTCAAGCACTGATGTGGAGAATCCTAGACCCCTAGGTTGATAACGCTTAGGTTATCAATACCTGGTGGGATACTGCACAGCTCTGCAGAGAACCACCCTTCCAATAGGATGTTTTCTTTTTCTTTTCCTTTTTGACAGGGTCTCACTCTGTTGCCCAGGTAAGCGTCAGCCTAGCTCACAGCAACCTCAAACTCCTGGGCTCGAGCAATCCTTCTGCCTCAGCCTCCCGAGTAGCTGGGACTACAGGCATGAGCCACCATGCCCGGCTAATTTTTTATATATATATCAGTTGGCCAATTAATTTCTTTCTATTTATAGTAGAGACGGGGTCTCGCTCTTACTCAGGCTGGTTTTGAACTCCTGACCTTGAGCAATCCACCCGCCTCGGCCTCCCAAGAGCTAGGATTACAGGCGTGAGCCACCGTGCCCGGCCAGAAAAAGTATTTTAAGGTTAAAAAAATAATAAGGGTCGGGTATGGTGGCTCACGCCTATAATCCTAGCACTCTGGGAGGCTGAGTTGGGTGGATGGTTTGAGCTCAGAAGTTCGAGACCAGCCTGGGCAAGAGTAAGATCCCATCTCTACTAAAAATAGAAAGAAATTACCTGGACAACTAAAAATATATAGAAAAAAAAAATTGCTGGGCATGGTGGCATATGCCTGTAGTCCCAACTACTTGGGAGGCTGAGACAGGAGGATTGCTTGAACCAAGGAGTTTGAGGTTGCTGTGAGCTAGGCTGACGCCACAGCACTCTAGCCCAGGCAACAGAGTGAGACTGTCTCAAAAATAATAATAATAATAATAATAATGAGAAGAAATCAGGTATGGATCCATGAAGACAAACATTTCCCAGGACCAGGGGAGAAGACTTTGCAAGAGAAAAACAAAGACATACTCATTTGTATGACAACTAGGTGACTGATGATTAGCAACCACCGGAGGAACTATCTTTGGTATCAAATACCTTTCCTGTTACCACAGACAATGGACAAATGATTTCTTACAATGACTATCTCACCTGTCCTTGGCAATAGCAAAAAGATCATCTTCATCATCCTCCTCAAAGAGACTGGTCTTTTTCACAGCCTCCTGGCCCTGGATGGTCCCAGGGTCCTTGGGTTCTCTTTTAGATCTGCTGTCAGATGCTGAGCTGGTCTGTGAATCAGTAATATTCCATTGGTCCTTAAAACATAAAACACATATTAAAAAGCCAGTGGCAATTTAGATTATGGGACATGAGGAGTAAAATAAAATTGACATTTGTTAAATGAAGTATTAAACGTATCTTTCTCTCTTTTTTTTTTTTTTTTTTTGAGACAGAGTCTCACTTTGTTGCCCAGGCTAGAGTGAGTGCCGTGGCGTCAGCCTAGCTCACAGCAACCTCAAACTCCTGGGCTCAAGCAATCCTCCTGCCTCAGCCTCCCGAGTGGCTGGGACTACAGGCATGTGCCACCATGCCCGGCTAATTTTTTTTTCTATATATTAGTTGGCCAATTAATTTCTTTCTATTTATAGTAGAGACAAGGTCTCACTCTTGCTCAGAGTGGTTTCGAACTCCTGACCTCGAGCAATCCACGCACCTCGGCCTCCCAGAGTGCTGGGATTACAGGCGTGAGCCACTGCGCCCGGCCAACGTATCTCTCTTGAAGAAAGCTCATGGCCAAGACCCTTTGTTGAACTCAAATCTGGACAGCTGGGTTCTCTGACCTCACAAAGCTTCTCAAACCTTCCCTTCCACCTGCCATGATGTTTCTTCCCTCTGTGATTCTGTCCTGTGTTAGGACAAGGAAACTTGTCTATTTTTGAGAATCAACATTAATTGTAAAGGTGTAAGAAGGAAGAAGAATGTAAAACAATCAAGAACTCTCAACTCTGGAAGAATATTTTAATTTAAAAAAATCCCAAAGCAGATTGCAAAAAAAGGGTATAAAAGCTCAAACAACATACACATAAACAAGACACAATGAAAAACTGCTAATGAGCCTTTTACCACAAAAGTCTGAACCTGGACTTTAGAAAGCAGAGGCAAAGATACAAAATCTAACCAAAAGGTTTGTACTTTCATATTTTCCTGAAATTAAAAAAAAAAGCATTTGAGGAAATTCCACCTGGCTATGCTCACCCCTTCAAATCAAGAAACTCCCAGGCATTTGCTTACGCAGCCCTTCAACCTCTGGAGTCTAGAGTTTTGCAAATCAAAGTGGGGTCCACCAGGCAGCAGGTTATGTAGAACCTCAGGCCCTACACCCTTACTTTCTGCATCCAAACCTGTATTTCACAGGATCCACAGGTGATTTCTTCAAATGTTAAGGTTGGAGAAGTGCTCCTTGAGAGTAGTGATATTCAGCAGTGACTACACACTGGAATTCACTAGGGAGCTTTAAAAAATTCTAATGATGAGTCTGTACCATAACCAATTAATTCTGATCTCCAGCGGAGGAATCGGGTATAGGTAAGTGATCCCAATGAGCAACAAAGATTGAGTCTCTGTTCTAGAACCCGGTTATCTTTACTCTGCATATCCTTTTGCTCATAGCTTTAGCTAACATTTTTATTTTCCCTACACCACAATACTCTGGTAGAAACAATTCCACTGATGTCTGGCTGTTACTAACGGGCAAATAACCACTAGCAATGCTAAAAAAAAAAAAAAAAAAAAAGCCGGGCACGGTGGCTCACGCCTGTAATCCTAGCTCTCTGGGAGGCCGAGGCGGGCGGATTGCTCGAGGTCAGGAGTTCGAAACCTGCCTGAGCAAGAGCGAGACCCCGTCTCTACTATAAATAGAAAGAAATTAATTGGCCAACTAATATAAATATATATATACAAAAAAAAAAAATTAGCCAGGCATGGTGGCGAATGCCTGTAGTCCCAGCTACTTGGGAGGCTGAGGCAGGAGGATTGCTTGAGCCAGGAGTTTGAGGTTGCTGTGAGCTAGACTGATGCCACGGCACTCACTCTAGCCTGGGAAATAAAGTGAGACTCTGTCTCAAAAAAAAAAGGATTATCCATCATAAATTCATACACTTGAGTAGAAAAAGCAAATTATATGTTGTATCATTTTAGGCTGCTTTCAATAAAAACATGAATGTATCTAGTATTTACCTGTCTGCTTCATATTCTCATAACTTGACCATAGTGTTAAAGAGCAATTATTACAAAAGATTTTTAATACTCAGGATTTCTAATATTATATTTAAAGACTTTTTCTGCACTGCTAAATCTAATTCGCTACTGCAAAATCTGATTTAGTTAGCAGCCTAATCATATTCACTACTCATTTTGTTAATATGTATCCAAATCACAAACGGAAATATTGTTAAGACTCCTACAAAAAAGGAGTTTCACTTGCACAGGATACTCCTATCATGTCTAGCTATAGCTCTAAATTATTGAAACAGTCATTTAACAAGGTACTATATTGCTAATGGGGTATAAGACATGCTAACCAAAATATGACACCTGGGCATTTGTGGAAACAGAAGTAGAGAGCTCTCTCATCTTCCCCTTGCCCTTCTCCTCTGAAGCAGACCATACAAGAATTCTCTGATCTTCCTCTCTGGAGCAGGTTACAAGACCTTCATTCCAGAGGTATGCTCCATATACCCAGAGGAAAGGAGTGCCCTTATTTCTAAAGACACAGGGGTGCAGAGAATAAGCTGAACAAACAGACTTTGCTAAACTGCCCCAGTTTATTACCATTAGGTCATATCCCTTTTGTCTAATCATGCTTCTCCATAACTATCCACTTCCTTATTAGATACAAATACAACACAGGTCTTCTGATTTCTCTGAGTCTTCATTTCTAGAGGCTTCTGTGTCACATAAAACTTATCTTAAATAAACTTGTATGCTTTTCTCTTGTCAATCTGTCACCTGCTCATGGCCCACAGCCATGAACCTAGCAATGGGTGAGAAATCTTTTCTCCCCCACGTGGCCTAACTCACTTCAATTAGCATATACTACAGTTTAGGAGCCGTACTTATTCCCAACCATTTTGAAAAGTTTTATCTTTAAATTAATACATAACACTAAATATATTTAAGAAAGAACAATCTTACATAGATAAACAGATAAAAAAAAGAAAAAGCAATCTTGTGAACATCATCTTTGGTGACTGAACTTCACTAGATGTAAAATAGGTAGAAAAAGAAAATGTTAAGATGGCTACCTCAAATAATCTCCTCCTCTTCTTTAGGAGAAAACTTAACCCACCTCCTCATCACTGCTGAACAAGGCAGATGTTTTCTTTTTGGAGAGCTCAGAGGGTTTTGCTTTCTTATGACTCTGAGTTTGTAGAGGTGATGTCTGTGTCTTAGCAGTTGTAGTCCCAAAAAGATTATCCTAGAAAAACAAATGACAGAAAGGTATGAAAACTTCACATATAAAAACAGAAAATGTAAGACATTCTCCCACGTCAAACTGTTAGGGAGTAAGTCTCCAGTCAGGTACAGACTATCACACCTTTGCAGGGGGAAATGCTAGCAAAGCCCATCCTACAGCTTCTTCTCACTGCATTCACCATCCACAGACAGGAACGAGATTAAGAGAATTCGAAGGCACAGCACCTGGGAGTCAGTGAGAGGTAGGACACATGTGGACAAGGTCACAGAAGTACAAGGAGGAATTGGGCCCTGCCCAGCCCTCCCGCGGGCAGACAGCACCTCCCTGCTTGTCATAGGGGCCCACAGCCTGTGACAGGCACAGCAGCCCCAGCAGCTGCCGGCAACTGGCCCCTCCCTCTCCATGAATTAGAAACCAGAGCAACAGATGAAAGGAGAGAACGAGGGGGGTCTCTCCACTCATTTACAGCTAAGGAAGGCACACACCTGGGATGGAAGAAGGAATGACTTGTGACTCTAATTTTAAAGACATGATACAAAGTGAAGAAATAGTTTACTAAATAAAATTGCTGGCGTAATAAAGACTGACTCTCCTAGCACTCTGGGAGGCGGAGATGGGCGGATTGCTCGAGGTCAGGAGTTCAAAACCAGCCTGAGCAAGAGTGAGACCCTGTCTCTACTATAAATAGAAAGAAATTAATTGGCCAACTAATATATATAGAAAAAATTAGCTGGGCATGGTGGCGCATGCCTGTAGTCCCAGCTACTCGGGAGGCTGAGGCAGCAGGATTGCTTGAGCCCAGGAGTTTGAGGTTGCTGTGAGCTAGGCTGACGCCATGGCACTCACTCTAGTCTGGGCAACAAAGTGAGATGCTGTCACAAAAAAAAAAAAAAAAAAAAAGAATGCATAAAACAGACATAGATACCAGTCTGTGTGTTAATCAGCTGTTCATGTTATTGGAAAGGTTTCTGGCAAACAGTAGGCTGTAGTTAAGTTTTTGGGTAGTCAAAAGTTACATCAACAACAGTTTTGTACAAATCTAAAAGTTAATTATCTCATGCTGCAATAACAGTGTTTACCTCTTCATCTTCATCATCAAACAGGGAGACCGATGTGGGGAGCTTGCTAGGCGGCAGAGATGCTCCTTTTAACTTACTTGCATTTTGAGAAGAAAACAAATCCTGCTGGAACAAGATTAAAGTTATTGGTTAACAGGATATATCAGTTTTGAAAATATCAGGTCAGTATAGGTCAGGCACAGTGGCTCATGCCTGTAATCACACCACTTTGGGAGGCTGAGGCAGGAGGATTGCTGGAGGCCAGAATTTGAAGACCAGCCTGGACAACATAGCAAGACCCCATATATACAAAGAATAGAAAAATTAGCCAGACATGGTAGCATGCCATTTGTAGTCTCAGCTACTTAGGTGGCTGAGACAAGAGGATCACTTGAGCCCAGGAGTTTCAGGTTGCAGTGAGCTATGATGATGCCCTATTTCAAAAAAAAAATAACACAAAACAAAACGACAAATAAATAAATAAGTACAGTATCAGGTCAATATAAAACACTAAAGACTAGGACATGAAGGCTGCCATGGTCTAGGTTTCCTTTGTTACAGGAAAGGTGCTCAGATAGAGTCCTGAAAGAGATGGGCCTCAGAGTCTGTCCTGGTTTGTGCAGCACAGATGCCTGCATGTAAGGAGGAAGAGAGCCACAGGATCCAGGTGGCCTCATGAAATGGGGGCTGCTATACTCCCACCTCAACATAAGGTAGGATGGATGAAGTTTCCCAATCAATGTCATATCATGCTAAAAAAAAAAAAAAAGACGTTCTTTTTCTGTCTAAAGAATGAAAGAAACTAAGCAGAGACAATAATGGAAACAGAGGCTAGATTCCCAAATTACTGAATTTATGACTATTTTATTTGGTAACACCCCTCTCTCCTAATATTATGCTATTATCTTTTAAATAAATACAAATTAAAATTTTATTTTAAAATGTTTGCTATTCTTCTTGAACTATAACTAGATGTTGCAAACCAGGAAAAGATCTGCTAGATTCTGAAAAAATTTTCAAACTGCTATAAAATATTAGACTATATTGCAAAGAAAGATCTACAAATTGAGCTGCATGAATTAGAAACATTAAACAGGACAACTATTCTCTTGGAAAGAGAAACTTCAATTCATAAGAGCCACACAAATAGGACAAGAACATATTTTCTAAGACCTCTTTGGACAATCTTTTAAAAAATCATGGAATCAACATCTGCTCCTCAAATATAGACCTAATAATTAGTTCACTACATGAGATCTCTTCTCAGCACAGCGGATTCCGCCTGTGCTCCACCGAGTCCCGTGAGTTTGCTCAGGTAGAAGCAGCCACAGGAGAGCTCAGGCTTCCCATGCTCCCCTGCACTTTACACACTGGCAAAAGAAAGGGCTCTGTTGCTTTAAGAAAATAAAACTGAACCAAAGCAAAGAATAAAAACAAATTTCAATATCACAATATTGGATCCTTAACTAATACCTTTCTTGGTATTGGAAAAAAAGACACTTTCATTGCCTTGAACACATCCCCCAAAATGACTTCACAGGCAAGCTTCAGCTCCATGCTTGAGATACACAGGCAGGAGTGAAAAGTCATTCCTTCTGGCCAAAGTGTTATCTTCCAGACTGCCTTGTTTTACTTCGCCTTGCCCAAGAATTCCGACAATATCCAACAAAACATTCAATGTATGATGATGCATGTGGCGCAAATCCTTTGGGGTGGGGTTTGAAATAAGGCTGCAAATTCATTTACACTCCTACCATCACGCACTGGAGTCTTGGCCATTCCCCTTGAACCTGAGTGGGCCTCTGTGACCACCCACCAACAAAACACAGCAGAACGAACACCTCTGACTTCCAAGGCTGAGACAAGAGGCCATACCACCTCTACCCAGCTCTCTCAGGAGTCTCCCTTACACCCCTAAGCCTCCACATAAGAGGCCCAGCTTCCCTGAGGCTGCATGCTGGGAGGCCACACAGGGCTGGGAGGTGCCCCAGAGGTCCCAGCTGCAGGAGTGAGCTAGTTCTCAGCCCAGCCACCTTCCGACACAAGAGACCCTCAGTGACAATTGCCTAGCTGAGTCCAAATCAACTTCTAGAACTGCGAGAGACAATAAAACTGTTGGTGTTTTAAACCACTAAGTTTTGGAGTGATTTATTCCATAGCAATAAACAACCAGAACACCTCATAAATCACTTAAATTCCTCACCTTCGGCTCTTTACATAGTCAAAATTTACTGGATGTCTTACCATGTGCCAAGCACTGGTATCAGGGATAGGATGCTGGGGATGCAAACAGGAAATAAAACACACTACCTTCATGGAGCTTACTCTAGTAGGGGCAAAGACAATGAACAAGCAAACACACACTGTCCCTGGCGACGTGTGCTGTGGTGAACAGTGAAACGGAGCAGGGGACAAAGAGTGCAGTGTGGTGTGTGCTGCCAGACTTGCTGCTGTGTAGAAGTCGTCAGGGCAGCCTCACAGAGAACTGAAAGAGGAAGCCAGCCAGCCACCTAGATTCTGGGAACAGCGTTCCGCAGGGTGGCACGAACCAGCGCACAGACCCCGAGGTGTGGGTGATGCTTGGGGAGCAAGAGGACAAGACAGTGCAGCCCCATTAACTGCCATCTTTTAGGTACTAGCCTTCAATCAAATACCAGCCTCTAAATTATTATTTACATCCAGGGCAATCTCTCCACTTCCGAAGAGCTACATGTTCACCCTGGCTAGAGCACAGAGTGCAAGCATGAGAGCCTAACCCAAGAGCCCATGGTTTCTTGAAATTACATGTAAATTTCTGCCATGTCCACATATTTTTCTGTGAAGGGGACTTATTACTTCCCATCATATTCTCATACAGATCTCCAATCTTCTAAAATAAAAGGCTAACTTAAAATTAGCTCTAAAAGGACCTAAACCTGAGGGAGTCAGAAAAAGTCATAAAACTTTTGAGAGCTGGTACGGACATGCCTGGAGGGACCGAGGCAGTCTGTGGACCAGGGCCACCCACAGCCTGTTCATGGTCATGATGAGACAAAAGGCTGTGCCAGAGTATACCTGCTATGGCACTGAGCCCACCATCTAGTTAGCGAGGCTGTCGAAAAAGGAAGCAGCGTGGTGATTTCCATTATGGTACCAGAGACTTACTGCACTGTCCACTAACAAGCAGCCTAATACTTGAGAATCTGGGAGAGAGTATTTTCCTCCTGGGAGATGCAATGGATTCAAACTCAAAGGTGAAAAGTATTGTATACACACTGCTTTCTAAAAATCGTATGTTCTCAAGACATTATTTTCAAAGAACTAAAGTACTTAACAAAAAATCTTATACCTCCACTGAGAAAAACCTGATTCAGAAATAGTTTCTAATGTCATATCCATAGACTAATAACCACAACTAAGAAAAAGAATTTCATACCTCAGAATCCTCTTCATCCGAAAATAAACCTTTTTGAGTCTTTGTTTCAGAAGGAACCTTGAGATTTTTGCTGGAATCTACGGTAACCTTTGATGAGGGAGAAAAAAGAAAAATTAAGGGTTAACATTTAAATATGATACCTGGAAATGAGGGTTTACTCAATCATTCACTTATATTTTCTTTGTACTGAGTCCTGGCCATGATAGGGGCCAGGCCACACCCCTGGGACAAGGAAATAAAGATGCCTCAGAATTTGGGCACATATAAAGTTCACACAAAGAACTAATGCAAAGGGATAAGTATGAGAAAAATGTAAAAATTGGTATAACTTATGAAAGAGGGGAAGAAAACAGTTCCTTGAGAAAGTACATGTCTCACAAAAAAACAAAATAAAAAAAAGCAATAAGAAGGAAAAAAAAAAGTACACACCTCAGGGCAGTTAAGGCTGGGACACGGGGATACGATATGAGCAAGGATGCTCCACGCCAAGGGAATCATGTGAGAAGAGAAGAGCAAGAAAGCAGACGGTACATCTGGTGTATCAGACAGCAAGGTGCCCTGCCCACATGACATGGCGCACAGAAGTAGCAAGTACAGTTAGAGACAGCGTGGCATGGCAGACTGCCCCGGGAGCCTACCAATCCTGCATGCTGGGCTTCAGGTGTTTGGCAGGGAAGTCAGGTTTCACAGCAAGGACACGACACGACACGATGAGATGTGCTTTACAGAGAGGAGGGATCAGCTCCATGGATAGCGCGAGGGCCGGCAGCCAGAAGGGCTTAGCCCTTTGCACTTGGATGTCGAGTATGACTTGACACGGTTAGCAAAAATTATAGAGATTAAAATTACTCTTTGAATGTATCAATAATTTGAAATATTAAAAAATCCAAATAAATAAGTTGTATGGAAAGAAACTCCATTTTTTTATTCTACTGCCACGCTTTGTAAAATCTGGGGTATTTAAAAAATTAAATCCCGAGTAGAATAAATGAATCGAGAAAAAAGCAAGCTAGTGCAAAGAGTTAAAGATGCCGGGCACACAGCCACCAGCCAAAGACAAATATAGGTCAGTCTGAGCATTAAAAGACAGTAACAATGGTAATGGATTATCATGCATTGTATAATCAAGCAATACCAAAAGTGGGGGGAAAGAAGAGAAAAAGCTCTTCTATTCAGAAAAATGCCAGCTAATATATGTAAAAGAAATACAGAATTAGAAAAACATTATTTTGTACCCACAAACAAGATAACTGGTTCAGGAAAAGATTATCAATGGATGTTAAGGCCACTGACTGAAAGGCTAGTAGAAAGCAGATATTCACAAAGTGTCAAAGTATCACTTTAGAGATTAACTTTTTTTTTTTTTGGAGACAGCGTCTTGCTCTGTCACTCAGGCTGGAGTGTGGTGGTGTCATCACAGCTCAGTCTGGGGCTCAAGAAAGCCTCCTGCCTCAGTCCCCCGAGTAGCTGAGACTACAGGCACGTACCACCATGCCCGTTTAAGAGATCAACTTATTAATGACAGAAGAGAACAGGGTACCTTTCCCTTGGTAGGCACCATTTTAACCAAGTGACAAAACCCCACCACCATGGGGCAGACCATGGACCTGAGGTGTCTTGGGAGGTGATGCAATGGGAAGTGCACAACTTTGCCTGCCTGTATTCTTGCCAACAGTGCTTAGCCTGAATCTAATCAGAGGAAAATAATCAAGCAAATTCACCACATGACACATTCTACAAGACAATTTGCTGGTCATTGGGGGAAGGGAATGCGGGAGGTGTTGCTTGACATTTTAAAAGGAGACCAAAGAGAAAGGACAACCAAATGCAATGCGGACACATTGCCTGGATCCTGGGTTTCTTTTAAAAAAAAAAAAAAAAGGCAAAAAACAAAAAAGCTATAAAGCTGCAGTGTCCAACCCCTGGGCCACTGACCAGTACTGGTCCATGGCCTGTTAGGAACCAGGCCACACAGCAGGAAGTGAGGGGCGGCTGTGAAGCTTCATCTGTATTTACAGCCACTCCCCATTGCTGGCATCACTGACTAAGCTCTGCTTCCTGTGAGATCAGCAGCAGCATTAGATTCTGCATTATGGTGAGTTGTATAATTATTTAATTATATATTACAATGTAATAATAATAGAAATAAAGTGCAAAATAAATGCAATATGCTTGAATCATCCCAAAACTATTCCCCACCTCCTGCTCCACGGAAAAACCATCCTCCATAAAAGGAAGTCCCTAGTGCCAAAAAAATTGGGGACTGCTGCTATCAAGGATATTTTTGGGACAAAAGAAGAAATCAGAATATGGACTATATACGAGATAATTTTAAATTGGTATATTTGTTGGGCGTGATTTCACAATGACATTTTGGAACAAACAGAAGCAATTTGAATATGGGCTGGATATTAGATTCTACTACAAAATTATTGTTCATCTCATAACTGTTAATAATGAGACTTTGGTTATATAATCTTTTAAGTTATATAACCTCCTTCTATAAAAGGAGGTCCCTGGTGCCAGATTCCTGAATCTGGGTGGCAGTTATCTGGTTATTCACTGTACTCTTTCCACTTTCTGTTTTAAATTCTTCAATATAAATGTGAAACAGAACATTACTGCCCTCTGTGCTCCAGATGAATTAGTAACATGCCCCAATTAACAGTCCTCAGTCCAGTCTTCCCGCCTGCTCACCTTTTTTTCTGCTCTTGCTTTATTCTCATCTGTCTGACTCACAGTGGCTTCTGGTAATGTCCCTGCTTTTTCTTTGAACAGATCTCCTTCCTCATCATCAAAGATATTAGCGGTGGGTTGGACTTTGCCTTTAAAAAGATACCGTGGCATAAAATTACACTAAGGTCAAAAATCCTACCACGAAATTCACAGATTAAAAATTCTTCCCTCCTAAAGAATAAATAGAAAATGCATGTTATTTCTTGGTCACTTATAAAGAAATAGTAAATGGAACTATGTTTTTCCCTTAGAATTTTTCAAAGAGTGCAACAGCAGCTAAACTGAAACATAGGACAGACAAGTTAACCATCTGGTTGACACCCTTATCCAAGCAGCAGCATCCTATGCTTATAATAGCTTATACTGGCTTCAAAGGTAAAAAGAGAACTATAAGAAGAAAGACCATTTAGGTGGACCACCAAATGAACCATTCTAGGAATCTGAAGAGTGAGGCTCGTTTATTTTTAAAAAATCAAACTATATAGAAGCACATTAAAGCAAATACTGAAATCCCCCCATAACTCCACCAGCCCACCCAAACAAGACAGACATAGGGTCCAGCTAATATACATGTTTCTAACTCTTCCAAAGGACATACTAATGAACTAACGTTAGACATTCACAAATAAGGCTATAAACTGTAAGATAATTTGAACAATGTGCCTCACCATTCACGTTTTATATTTAATGTACCTAGGAAATCTTCCCAAATCAACATGCATAGACCCATTCTTTTTAATGGCTTCATAAAATTCCACTGAATGGAAGGACCACAGCTTACCCTACTGAGGAATATTTGGGTGGTTTCCAACATTTGCCACAGGCATTGCTGTACCAAATGAGGCATGTGTCACTGAAATGAGGACACTGACTCATGAATGTCCTGAGAGATCAGCAGTTGTCCAAAAAAGCAGCATCAATTTATTTATGATGCCAAATCAGTTCTTAAAGATATCCACTAAGTGAGGCCCTCTGGAGCTGCAAGAGGCAATACTACCCCCATTCACCGGCATTTTAGTCAGCCTAGACCTGTATGCCCTATTACATCTGTCTGAACTCTTTCTAGAATAACTAGGCTATTATCTTCCCTCACATTTCTGCTTCCATTCTTACTTTCGACACCTAACACTAGAAAAGGAAAGTAAATCCAGACAGCTTGGTTCCAAATGCATTCTGGTCCCATCTATTCCTTTTTTTTTTTTTTGAGACAGAGTCTCGCTTTGTTGCCCAGGCTAGAGTGAGTGCCATGGCATCAGCCTAGCTCACAGCAACCTCAAACTCCTGGGCTCAAGCAATCCTGCTGCCTCAGCCTCCTGAGTAGCTGGGCCTACAGGCATGCGCCACCATGCCCGGCTAATTTTTCTATATATATTAGTTGGCCAATTAATTTCTTTCTATTTATAGTAGAGACAGGGTCTCACTCTTGCTCAGGCTGGTTCTGAACTCCTGACATTGAGCAATCCGCCTGCCTCGGCCTCCCAAAGTGCTAGGATTACAGGCGTGAGCCACGGCACCTGGCCTGGTTCCATCTATTCCTTACGGCATCCTTTCCTTTTGCAAGTTACTGAAAATTGTGTGCACCTTAGTGATCTACTTTTCCAGAAAAGTGCCCAATGAATCTAAGTCCTGCAATCCCGAGTGTGATCCACAGACCAGCAATTTCTGCCCACCAGGGACCTTGTTAGAAATGCAGACTCTCAGGTCCCACCCTAGACCCACTGAATCAGAATCTTCACTTTGACAAGAGCCCGGGGAGATTCATCTGCACATTAAAGAACAAATGATTTAGAGGAATGACTTCAGGAACATAAGGACTTAAATCTGAGGGGAGGAGAAAGGAGAGTGCCCAAGTAGGGGCTCAAAAGCCTGTCATAAAAGGAAAGGTCAAGGACACCTGAGCTTTTTGGCAGAGAGAAGAGAAAATGGGAACTAGGATATGACATTCTTGCTCATAAAATTTACTTAGGGCTGCTGAAAGAAAGTATGATTAAAACTTTCTCAGCAATTCTACAGTTCAGAACTAGAAATTTTGAGCAAAAATTACAGAGGAAAAGATTTCAGCTCTCTGTAAGGAAGATAATCTTAATAATTAGTTTTCAGAGAAGAAAAGATTGGTTCATAAAATAGAGACCTCCAAGGCACCATAACTATTTAAGTACAGACAAGACAACTCAGTAACAGGACTGCTCAAGGACGGATTCTGGAACCACAGGAGATACAGAACTAGGAGAGCTTATGTCCTTTTTAGGTCAATCATTCTTTTTCTGCCTAAATTCCCAGAAACAGAGGTTGGAACAGGTACCTGTCTTGGAAGGTTTGCTGAGAGATGCCGCAAAAAAATCGTCGTCGTCATCATCATCATCAAAGAGGCCAGTGGGAGGTGGGGGGTATGGGCTTTTCCCTGGAAGGGGCTGCTCAGGCTTTTGGGGTTCCTTCCGTGATGAAGCTAAGGCAGCACCAAACACATCAGTGTCCCCTGTGGGTGGAGGGACAGAACAACCACAGCCATAAGCCAGTGTGGACCTCCCATCTTTATAGAAAAAAACAGTATCATGCACCAAGAACTTTTAGTTTCAGTTCACAAAACACATTAGTAGGGCCATTGACCTCCATCCATTACTCCTTTGGAACATCCCACAACACAGAATTGCCTGGTCAGGCCGGGCGCGGTGGCTCAAGCCTGTAATCCTAGCTCTCTGGGAGGCCGAGGCGGGCGGATTGCTCAAGGTCAGGAGTTCGAAACCAGCCTGAGCAAGAGCGAGACCCCGTCTCTACTATAAATAGAAAGAAACTAATTGGCCAACTAATATATATAGAAAAAATTACCCGGGCATGGTGGCTCATGCCTGTAGTCCCAGCTACTTGGGAGGCTGAGACAGAAGGATCGCTTGAGCCCAGGAGTTTGAGGTTGCTGTGAGCTAGGCTGACGCCACGGCACTCACTCTAGCCTGGGCAACAAAGTGAGACTCTGTCTCAAAAAAAAAAAAAAAAAAAAAAAAGAATTGCCTGGTCATTCAGACACAAAAGAGTCCAAGCCCACTGATTTCCAGGGGAATATGCCAGTAAGGAGTTCTTTCTACAAGCTGTCCAATGTGCTCTGAAGCTCCCAGGTACCTCCTACTCTCCAGCCAGTCTTCCGAAGATGGCAATTTAAAAAAATGACAAAATAGCAGTTGTATAGTTTTTAAAAAAACAAACCCTAAGTTATGTTACCTAGAAATACAGAAACAGCTCCTGCTGGGATTTTCTTTCCAGGTTTGGAGGATGAAGACTCTACAATGAGGAAGAAATGGATAAGTATTTTACAAAGAAAATAACTTTCCTTGTTAGACCTACCTTTCTGAAATATGAGCAACGTAACACATACCTAATAGGAAACCTTTTAAAAATAATTTTTCCTAAACAAGCCATTTTAAAATTCTTAGTATTTGCTTTTCTACTGATGTCAGGACTTTTTTGAAGGACTAACGCAGTATAAGCTGTGACCACCATGCAAGGTCACCCTGACTGTGGACGAGCAATGGCATGAGGGCAGCGGGGGAGGCCAAAGGAGGTGCTGAGCACAGCCTTCGGAGGCAGGAGCAGCACCGCCAGGGCTCCCCAAAGTAGTTTTAGCTGAACCCATTCCTGTTTGGTAAGAATGAACAAGTGAAAAAGAGTGGCAAAAACCGTGAGACAGGCAGAGGATCCACATCTCCCATCTCGTCTCATGGCCGCCCAAGACAAGACATGGCTTCTGTTCTTAAGTCCCTGTTAAATGTTTCTTTCCGAGAGAAAGAAAAAAGTGAGACGTCTGTTAAAAAATAAAAACAGTAAGAACAAGCCACAAACACCAAAACTGGGAGAGCAGAAACTGGAGGGCAAGCCAGGTTTAGGGCTCAGCAAAGCAAAGACAAGGAGAGGCTTTGGAGGGGCCCCAATTCTGATCACATGCAGCTGGGAGACTGAGTCACTTAAAATAACTAATTCCCAACTGCTAAGAACTACAACAAACCTAACAGAATAAAATTTGTAGGCTTAAAAAACAATGTTGTGTGCTTTTTAAAAACTAAACAGATGATTATGATATACACTGGCTTGGGGAATTACTGACCTCCAACTTATATGCAGTGTTAGAAATGTTTCTTTAGCTGGTGTGATGGCTCTGGCCTACAAACCCAGCTACTCAGGAGGCCAGGGCAGGAGGAGTGCTTGAGGCCTGGAGTTTGAGACCAGCCTGAGCAAGAACAAGACCCCAACACTACAAAAAATAATTTAGCTGCACCTGGCAGCTCACGCCTTGTAGTCCCAGATACTCAGGAGGCTAAGACAGAAAGATCATTTGAGCCTGGGAGTCTGAGATTGCAGTGAGCTATGATGACACCACTGTATTCTATCTATCTGGAGTGACAAAAGCAAGACTGCTTCCAAAAAAGGAAAGAAAAAAAGGAAAACTATCCCTGTCTGACTTTGTATGAATTCTCTCCTAAAAAAGAGGCCAGACTGTGATTTGGATTTACAGGTAGACGGTGCTGTTTTTTCTAAAACATGAGTTAGGGAAAATGAACTGCTTTTAACTTGACCAAGGTAAAAACAACAGCTTCCTGCTTAACAAAGAAACAAGGCTTGGAGCAACTTGAGGATCCCACGTCCTAATGGGAAAGAAAGAATTTTGGAACTCTTCACACCAAGAAGCAGAGGTAGCCTCACTCCCAGCTCACCTTCATGAAAAGGGACACGAGCTTGACAATCCTGGGGGGCTTCCGTGAAGAGGTCACTCTGGTGGTAATAAGGTACATGATGAAGAATTCAAAGTAGGGAAAAATGTAGGTGTGTTTGAGGATTTCTAAGGAAAAGTAACCTATAAAATTTAAAGTTGCATATCTACTGTTTTGCCAGAAAATCAGTTGTAAAGTGAAGACTATGGCAAAATTAAGCCTTTACATAATTTAGGCCTGTCTAGGAATTAAATACAAAAATAGAAGGCAACAGATAATATAAGAAACAATCACCTCGCCAAGTAAATTATTCACTACTCACACTCTCACATCCTCTCCTCACCTAACAAAGGACATCAGGATAGCGTATTTCTCATTCTATGACCTTAGTTCAAAATGTCCCAAAATATGAAAGTAGAAGCAACTTCCAAAAGAGAAGCCATTTTGTTCCCCACTAAAGGAACAAAGTGCATTTCTTCCTTGTGGACCATGACATAGCTACAAGGAGCATGGCTGGGTACCACTGACTTACCTCCTCATCCTCATCATCAAAAAGTCCCTTGCCTCCACTGAACAGGCCGCCTCTAGAGCCAAACGGTGAGAAGTCTTCGTCGGTCAGCTTGGGGGGTTCAAATAAGTTATCTTCCTCATCTAGCAAATGGAAATGTTATGCAGGGAGCATTAAAGATGAGTTTGGAACCCAAATTCCCAGCTTCGCCTCTATGGCTCCAAGCGGGCATGGAATTTATCTAACCATATTTAACAAAGAGTATGTTAGGGCAGGGTGATGAATTTTAAACAAAACCTCACTCAAAAGTCCACTGATGGCCAGGCGTGGTGGCTCACACCTGTAATCCTAGCACTCTGGGAGGCTGAGGTGGGAGGATCGCTTGAGCTTAGAAGTTTGAGACCAGCCTGAGCAAGAGTGAGACCCCATCTCCACTAAAAATGGGAAGAAATTAGCCGGACGACTAAAATATATAGAAAAAAAATTAGCCGGGCATGGTGATCCATGCCTATAGTCCCAGCTCCTTGGGAGGCTGAGGCAGGAGGATCGCTTGAGCTCAGGAGTTTGAGGTTGCTATGAGCTAGGCTGACACCACAGCACTCTAGTCAGGACAATAAAGACTCTGTCTCAAAAAAAAAAAAAAAGTCCACTGAAGCCCTCAAAAGGCTCTCTGCACTCCCAAGTCTGTCAAAGCCCAGAGCAGACAGAGTAAGTTCTCTAGGCAATCTCCCCTCAGCTAGACTTACTTATTTTGAAGCAAGGATATGATTCAATTGCCACATTCAAGACCCATCACCCCAAGAAATCTGGGGGAAGGAAGAGCACACTGAGCAGCAGACAGGCGCAGTGATGAGTAGAATAAACTGACATCACTATTTAATACAAAAGGGCCCGACATATTCTTTACTAAAAACAAGTGCTACAAAGCCATAGTTTCTATACATCTAGAGAATTTTAGAAATGATCACTATAAAATCAAATAATTCAAATCTTTACAGGTACTTTCATTCCACACCCACTTCTCCTCCCAACACCCCAAAGCATGCTTTTAGATGCTTTAAAAAAGTAAATGGAAACAGACCCTATTTATCAGCATTTAAAGCAACACTTTATAAATTATGTAAGCAACATTCCCAAATCAAAAGGTTCCTAAAATACCAGAATTGCAGGAAAACACCTACCATCTGAAGGACTTCTCCTTTCCTTCTTCTCTTTCAATGTCTTCTGAGGTTTTGCTTCTCCTGAGGATAAAGCTTGAAGAATATTTCAGTTTTAATAATACTTAGCCCATGCCTGATATATATATATATATATACTGATTCTTTACATGTCTGTCATCCTCATGACTCGTAAGCTATGAGCAAGATATTCAACTTTGGGCCTGGCACTGTGGCTCACACCTGTAATCCCAGCACTCTAGGAGGCCGAGGCAGGAGGACTGCTTGAGCTCAGGAGTTTGAGACCAGTCTGAGCAAGAGCAAGACCCACCTCTACTAAAAAGAGAAAAATTAGCTGGCATTGTGGTACACGCCTATAGGCCTAGCTATATGGGAGGCTGAGGCAGGAGGATCCCTTGAGCCCAGGAGTTTGAGGTTGCAGTGAGCTATGATGATACCACAGCACTCTAGCGGGGGCAACAGAGCAAGATTCTGCCCCCCTCCAAAACAAAGGAAAATCTTCCCTCAGTGAAGCTAGCAGAGCAGCAGAGGGCCCTACACTTCACCAACCACCCATTACCACATCTCTGTGGCTCACTTGTCTGTTCCTGTCCCATTCGGCTCCCGCCATCCCCTTTGATCCTGGCCGCCAGCTCATCAGCAAACGTCGGTCCACTTCTTTTCTACACGCAGCAGAGACCAAAAGAATCACTTATTCTGTAGCAGACAAGCTAGTGCAGTTTACTTTCGGACACCTAACAAAATTATGTAAACAATAGCAAAAAAGTTGATCTGAGGCAAAGACAGAGCTTCATTAAATGAATTTAAATGTATGTACCCTATACAGATCACCCAGGGAACAGGTTCATAAACTGTTCCTTCAAAGGGAGATGCTCTTTATTTCCTTATTTTTTTAATACTTCACTTTAATACTTCACTTTAAAACTTAAAAATCTAGATAACAAAACTGGTAAAGGTGCTTGAGGGGTAGAGGGAGAAGCACTACAGTCTTCAAACTCTGGAACTGAACATATTCTAGATGATCTGACTTGTAAAATAGTAACATTTGGAGAAGAAAGTGGTACTTGTGAGGCAATTTGGGATGCTCACCATTATTTTCAAAAGTGTAACTGAAGTGACAAACGTGATGCAAAAACAAGATGGCTACAAATACAAGTGACAATACAAGACAAGAGTCATAGGTACCATTTCTAAAACCCTTCCAAGTGGTAGCAACTACAGTCTTTCTTACAGGTCTAGCATTTTCTTCAACATCCTCAACATCTTCCTCCTCCTTCTCAGAGTCAGCGAAAAGGTCACAGCCATCATCCTCCTCTTCCTCATCACTCATTTGTGTGGTGTGCTAAGAGTACAAAACAACAGATTAACACGATTAGATACAGTCATCAAGCTGAAAAGGAGACACTGTCACTTGGCCTTTATGCTCCTTCAAAATAGTAATAGCTTTTTAAAAGAATGATGACAGTCATGCTGTAGCAAGTTATGAAGCAGTACATGTGTTGGCACAAATAACACACAAGATTTACTGAGGATCTAAATAAAGAATTTACCCTTTAATAAGAATGTAAAAGCAAGAATATAAAATATTGAAATATTCAAAATGTCTATCACTAGAGAAATATAAACAAATTAGTATAGTCTTAACTTAATAAGACTACTGAGTAATAACTAGAAGGAATAAGCTGTAACAACTACAGAGCCATCCAAGGTAGATCAAGTCAACAAGTACAGAATGACAAACCCAGTATGAGACTCTTGCCCCTGACACATATACTCTACCACTTCCACGGACACAGACGTAATTATAATTATAAAAACAAAGAAAAGGACTTGGAAAGACACACTCCCAGACCACAATTCTGATTACCTCTGGAGAGTATGCAGAGAAGGATTGGAGGCCTCAAACGTAGCCTTATCTATTAAGTTCTAATTTTTTCAAAGGTGGCCATTAGTATAATATGCATAATTTGCACAGTGTACAACATTTTTCAGTGTTTAAATCAATCAACTATACCATGCACAATGCTAAAAGCACTTTATTACCTAATTTAATCCTTGCAACTCTGAGGTTAACTGTGGCATACAAAACCAGTAAGTCTTTAATAAGGAAAACAAATGGTAAGCCAATGCTTTTAATAACAATACTGCACTGTTTGAAAAACTGTATTTATGAACTTCAAAAGTCAACTCCAGGCCAGGCGTGGTGGCTCACGCCTGTAATCCTAGCACTTTGGGAGGCCGAGGCGGGCGGATTGCTCAAGGTCAGGAGTTCGAAACCAGCCTGAGCGAGACCCCGTCTCTACCAAAAATAGAAATAAATTAATTGACCAACTAAAAATATATATACAAAAAATTAGCCAGGCATGGTGGCGCGTGCCTGTAGTCCCAGCTACTCGGGAGGCTGAGGCAGGAGGATCGCTGAGCCCAGGAGATTGAGGTTGCTGTGAGCCAGGCTGACGCCACGGCACTCAATCTAGCCAGGGCAAAAAAGTGAGACTCTGTCTCAAAAAAAAAAAAAAAAAAAAGTCAACTCCATAGAAATAAATATCCTCCAATGGAAGAGTGATTAATAAAATCATAGAGACCAATAACATTTGTGAACACAACCAGGAAGATACAAGTACCAATCAAAAAGTGCAAAATCCTTCATTTGATTGTTGACAATTTTTATAAAGAAATACTTCCCAATTAGGGAACTGAAATACAAATTGAGACAATCTCAATACACCATGGTACATACATTATCGTAGCAAAAATTTAGCTAAAATCATCACTCCAGTGCTTATGAAATTATAGGAAAATCAATACGCATGATGCATAATTTAGAAGTATCAAGTATGAAGAGCCATTAATGGAACACTACACCACCTTATTCCTCAGAAACAGTTCACAGAAGCAAAGGATTTCTATGTATAAAAATACTGAAGGCAGCATTATCTTGAAAATAAAACTTTAAACTATTTCTGTTATATATTTAGAGACTATAATAGCATTATATATCAACACGTTTAAAAATATATATTTACAAAGCAAATTACAAAGACTATCTAAAATGAAAAGGAAACACTTACATGTTAACATAAAAAAAGAAAAGAAAATATGCATACTATGAAAAGAATATGCCCTTAGATGGATATTCAAAAATTAAGATAACTGTGCTAAGACAGTAGGATTAGTTGTTTTCACCTTATGAGTGTTCATTAATGTTATTGCTGGATTCTCTCAAATTTTACCACAGGGAAGGGGGATTCACGTAAAATAGTTCAGTTTGGGTAATTAGGCCTTCTTTTGGAGGCTCTGTTTTCCAATTTTATTTTTTACTTCTTTGTCTTCTAAGAAAAATGAAGATTAAATAATAAAGCAAAATTGGGGAAAAATACACAAAGGGGGGGTAGTTAGCCTAAATACATGAAATGCTTACAGGAATATTAGTTGTAAACATGAAAAAAATCCTCACTTTGTCATAAACTAAGCAAAAGTCATTTTTGTATACATGCTATGTATGCTTCAATTAAGATTTTAAATAAAGTCACTTCAATATTGTAGCCTTACCCGGTTTTGATCATTGTCACTATGGTTGGCAAAATCTTCATCTGACTCCTTTGGGGGGAAAAAAAGGCTTTGTTACCAAACAAGCTTTACTTGGAAGCACAGAGATGACTTCAGGTCTAAGTCTCTGGGGCAAGCTGATTCTGTGTCAAGCTGAGAAAAAGCTCTGACGCTCAGTCTGTTTGCACTGACTACTGGCCACTGTATGCATCAAGGTGCCGATGAGGTGGACAGTTGGCAATGTCATGAAGGGTTGCTCCAGTTAACATGTGATTTTTGTGGTTCACTTAAACACCTCTAACAAATTGTTCATATCATCTGCACTTTCAACTCTAACCTGTGGTTTTTAAGTTAAAGTTGCACATTTAACTAAGTTATCAAAAGTTGGTTGTGTTGGCTGGACGCAGTGGCTCACGCCTGTAATCCTAGCACTCTGGGAGGCTGAGGCGGATCATTAGAGCTCAGGAGTTCACAACCAGCCTGAGGAAGAGCGAGACCCCATCTCTACTAAAAATAGAAAGAAATTAATTGGCCAACTAAAAATATATAGAAAAACTTAGCTGGGCATGGTGGTGCATGCCTATAGTTCCAGCTACTTGGGAGGTTGAGGCAAAAGGTTCGCTTGAGCCCAGGAGTTTAAGGTTGCTGTGAGCTAGGCTGATGCCACGGCACTCTAGCCTGGGGAACAGAGTGGGACTCTATCTCAAAAAAACAAAAAGTCGGTTGTGTTATTTTACACTTAGATTCCACTCTCTACATTCCCTCCAAGTAGGATAACGACTTCCTCAGGCCCAGGAAGGGGACATTAGTATTTGCTACCAGCAACTCTGTAAAGAGCTACACTGGTGGCTAAAAACAAAGGATTTATCTAATGACCATCTGTTACAGCAAGGTTGCTTATGAAAAGCTTGTTTCCTACAAGGTTCTGTTCAGAGGACTGGAGGGAGAGGGGACTGCAGAAAGGGGAACACAGGAGAGAGGAGTATATGGGCAAAATAACTGTCTCCTTTCAGAAATCTCATCCTCAAGGAGTACCCTTCCAGGTGGCTCTGCCCTTTGCAATAACAAACATCTCATCTAAATGAACAACTCCAGATATAACTGCAATCAAGGCCCACAGACTACAGGACCCTAGACCAGGAAGTCAGCGTATGTTCTGTGGATGTGAAGAGGCTAGAGGCGGCAGCAGAGCAAAATGTGAGTGGATGCTGTAAGCATCCCCCGGTCTAGAAGGTTCTATAGTAAAAAGGGTTTAAATGTAGATTTGTTTTCCTCTAGAATTATTCCAAGAAAGAATGTACTCAAAGACTATATCCCAGGCAGAGATTCCACCAAAATACCTAACCTGGCCTCCAAAAAATATATTGGGTAAGAGAGGGATTTCATGGCAAGAGGGAGGATAATAGTGAAAGATATTAAAGCAGTTTTACTTGTTTTTGTATGTAAAACAAAAAGAAAACCTAACACCAAGGAAAAACTTCAGAATATGGCTTCTATCACTGTTAAAAGTTTTATGAAAACAGGGCCAGGCACAGTGGCTCACGCCTGTAATACTAGCACTCTGGGAGGCCGAGGCACGCGGATTGATCAATGTCAGGACTTTGAAACCAGCCTGAGCAAGAGTAAGACCCCATCTCTACTAAAAATAGAAAGAAATTAATTGGCCAACTAAAAACATATAGAAAAAATTAGCCGGGCATGGTGGTGCATGCCTGTAGTCCCAGCTACACGGGAGGCTGAGGCAGAAGGATTGCTTGAGCCCAGGAGTTTAAAGTTGTTGTGAGCTAGGCTGACGCCAAGGCACTACAGCCCTGGCAACAGAGTAAGACTCTGTCTCAAAAAGAAAACAACAGGCCGGGCGCGGTGGCTCACGCCTGTAATCCTAGCTCTTGGGAGGCCGAGGCGGGCGGATTGCTCAAGGTCAGGAGTTCAAAACCAGCCTGAGCAAGAGCGAGACCCTGTCTCTACTATAAATAGAAAGAAATTAATTGGCCAACTGATATATATATAAAAAATTAGCCAGGCATGGTGGCGCATGCCTGTAGTCCCAGCTACTCGGGAGGCTGAGGCAGAAGGATCGCTCGAGCCCAGGAGTTTGAGGTTGCTGTGAGCTAGGCTGACGCCACGGCACTCACTCTAGCCAGGGGGGGGGGGGGGGGGGGGGGGGGGGGGAGGGGGGGCTGACAACAAGCAAGACTCTGTCTCAAAAAAAAAAAAAAAAGAAAACAACAAAGTTTTATGAAAACAGATTGCTAATTCATAAATATGTTGCTTAACTAGCTAAACACATCCTAAGCTTCCTGCCCACCATGACCTAGTCACACCAAACAGTCCTCACCTCTTCCTCTTTCTCTTCTTCACTGTCCACAATACTGCCACGATCGCTGCCCACAGAGCCTTCTGGAGAGAAGAAAGATATGAGTTACCACCATAAAACTCAAGAAAATGTCCTTAGCTCCTTCTCAAAATCATAAGCCACCACACAACAGAATCACAGACACTGATAAAACCATCTATACCCATTAATTGGAATTAAAAATATCTTCATTATGGTGAGGAACAAGATATTTATATAGTCTCACAGTATTGCCGCACAAGATACTTACTAAAAAAAAAAAAAATTCATTGCACAGGAAAAAAACTGACTGTATTCCTCAAAGATTTCAAGGCCATGAAAAGCAAAGAAAGGCTGAGAAACTGTATCTGACTAAAAGATGACTGGAGAAATGCAACAACTCAATGCTGTGAGTGACTGGTCCTGCATCGAGTCCTGGACCACAGAACAAGACAGACTATAAAGGACATCAATGGGACAACTAACAAAATGGGAGCATGACTGAGGATTAAACAATAGTATTATGTCCCGTAAAATGTCCTGATTTTGGTAATTATAGTATGGTTATAGAAGAGAATACCCTTATTCTTAGAAAATACATGTACACAGAAATATTTAGGAGTAACAAAAATAAGGTCAAGTATTACATATACATAGACTCTTAGAACAAATGTGGAGAAATGTTACCAACTGGTAAACCTGAGTGGTAATATGTGAATTCTTTGCATTCTTGCAATTTTAATTTAAAGTTTGAAATTACTTTAAAATAAAAAAGATAGAAATGTTAAAAGTCACAAAATATTGGGTGAAGAATAGTACCTTCACTGGACAGCTCTCCAAGACCCACATCTTCCTGCTCCATGAACAGCTTGGACCCGATCAGATACGGTAAAGGACGGTCGATGTACAGGTCCTGTGCGTGATGGAAGGGAATCAGCCATCGAACATTTAGGCTGAAAATGAAACTGAGTTTTCCACGTGACATCCTGTTCCAGCTCACTACCCCAAATTAAGTTATATAATAAAGGTGGAGAATAAGAAACATAAAATTAAATGTAAAAAAAAAAAAAAAAAAAAAATTTCAGGTTGGTCCGAGTGCAGTGGTGTTTACAACTAATTGATCACAACCAGTTACAGATTCCTTTGTTCCTTCTCCACTCCCACTGCTCCACTTGACCAGCCTTTAAAAAAAAAAAAAAAAAAAAAAAAAAAAATTTCACTGATGTTAAAAAAGTCAAATCCCGGGTAAAGATAGCAAGGTAAAGCTGAGTCACACAGAATCTCCCCTTCCCCAAGTACCTAATTAACAAAATTAACAAACATGGCAAAAGTCCGCAAAAACTATACCAGCAGTAACCAAATGATGAAAAGGGTACAATTTCGTAGGAAAGGTCCAAAAGAACAGGACCAAGGAAAGAAACCAAAAATTCTGGGGACTGTTGATGAGTCCTAACCCCACTTTTTTCCTCTAAAACATATTACTGGTAAGCCAAAAAATATATATATTTTATATATATATTATATAATATATATAATTATAATATAATTATAATAATCTAATATGTATATTAGAAATTGATTTATTTTATAGATAAAACATAAGCATATATTATATAACTAAAATATTAAAATGTATATTTTATATTAAAATATGTATTAATATTTAATGTTTTAAAAAATATTTAAAAATTTATATTTATGTAATTTTTTGTATTAAAATATATTTTTTGGCTCACTAGTATTGCTTTATATAACCTTTTATATAGAAAAATACATATCTTGAGAATCATCCCTAACAGTCCCAAATTTGGAGAAACACATACTGACAAAATAATTCTAACGCTGGACATAACTATAAGAAAGCAGGTGGGTACGCCTGGGGTTGGGGGGTTGACACACAGCTCACTAATAAGGTGCAAAGGGAATCCGGGTGGTCTCTCCACACTGATCCGAGCTGAGAAGGGGAGACAGAGCACACACACGGCCAAAGGAAAAGCTACTGGCAATTGTGCAGTACCTACAGTGAATGCAAAGAGCTAATGAAATGGATCAGAGACTGATGAGAGCCTCTATATGACGAAAAAAAAACACTCGAGAAATAGAACAATGTTAAACACTATTGAATTTGGAAGAGTGTAGTAAAATAAGACCAGGTGAGAAAACACAGAACAAGGACAATGGCCACAGCAGCGCACGCAGGAGAGGCGCCCATGTCAGCCCTCCGCTCCTGGTAGCCCCGCCCACTATGTGCATGCTAAAAATGTAGGATCAAGTAAGTGCTCTCCCCTGGCGCTGACTTGTCCCCTATGAGGCACCACGCTTTGGCCATAATATCTCTTCCCTATCAAAAGGACTCTGAGGGGTGGTGCAGGGGAGAACAACTTTGATGTTTCACAAGACAGAAAGACCTCAAGGGTTAATATAACAGTTAAAGATACAACAGCAACCAACTGAGTGTAAAGAAAAGACGGTGCTAATTTGGACTAATTCTCTTCTCTGGGACTCAGAAGGCACTCCCAAGTCTTCCTATGAAAGAGAAAGTGGCATGTAACTTGGAAGTATCAAGCGTGGCCCAGACAATACACTTCCTAGGGTCCGCTGCTGACTTGTAAATGCAAACTGTGACAAAGCAAGCCAGCAAGTGTACTGGTGCTAAAGGATCTGCCCCCACTTAGTAGGACTCTGCAAAGCTCAAACTGGAACAGAAATGTACAACTTTTTGTGGCATGTTTTAATTCTTAAAGCACCTGTGTGCCATGAAGACTCTCTCAAAATCAACATGACAAATTTCTGTGTTTACTACTGAGTGGCTCTGTGTTGCCCTGTCTCCTTTAACAATCTGAGAAAGTACTAGTAAAGCAATCAATGCATGCAAGTCTAACAAAGAGCCAGGATGTGAACGCTCACAACAGCTTTATTTGTAACAGCCAAACTGGGAAGCAAGCCAGATGCCTTTCGATCCTTCTGCAGTCTTCCTCAGCACAGGCTACAGACTTTCAGCTCCCAATGACTTCTACCTCCCAGGAGCCTCCTCATCCACAAATCTCATCTGTGCCCCAACATCCAGCTGGAAGTCCTTTCTCTCTCAAAGCATTTAAGATGGTTACTCTCACAAATGTCTCCTCTCTCCCACCAGACAGTAATACACACCTCAAGAGTGGGAGCTGTGCCCTCTAACTTGGCATACTGCCTTGGACCTCACAGGGCTCAATCCACGCTCAGGTAAAGCACCTCTTTCTCACGGAGTCAATTTGAGATTGCTAAGTGACACACTCACCTCCTAGAGGTAAAGTCCACGATTTAGTAACTGTGTGCCCAAGTAAAGTACTCAAGACATAACAGGTGTAACAGGGAACATTTAAACTGAACGTCTTTACCTTTGGTTCAAGGATCAGTTCCACACGCTCATTAGCATCATCTTCTTCAGAGTCTGAGTTTCCTGCTTTTATATCGAGCTGCTCAAATGCACTGTCCAATACTTGTAAACCATAGTTCACAGCCTCCTGCACTTTAGGAATAAGATCTACTTCCTTCTGTTCCCGAGTCTTCTCCTAAAAAACAAATACCATGCAGTATGAATCTCCAATATATGGATATCACTCCAGGAAAACACCAAATGCTCGTTAAAGCCTAGTCTTATGCTAAAAAAAAAATAATAATTTAAAATGTCAAAGTCATATTGAAACCTTAAAATCTGTACCCCCATAATATGCCAAAAAAAAAAAAGTCAAAGTCTGATTCTGCTGAATGCCTTAACACAGACTTTTCAGCAAGACTGCAAGTTTTAAATACAAAGTGTGCCACTTTCTGGACAGGCATTAAACTACCTAAGGTCCTAGAGTTTCAGGTTCATTGTCCACAAAATCAGAAGTGCAACTATTGTGTGATGGTTCAGTTAGAGAAAGTGTGTAAAAGCACCCAAATAATGAATGGTCTCTCCCCTGATACTGGAGGAATAAAGGGTCCTAGATTTTTAAATTCACCATAACTATCAATATATTGCAGATGCATACTGCACAGTATTTGATTTTTAGGAGAACAAATGGTATTAGCCTTGGTTAACAGTCCCTTGGACAATTTTAGGAGTTAAGATTTATGAGAAAACACTCTCGCCAGAGATGTCATTTTCCAATTACAGTAAAACAAAAACAAAAAACTGGACGATTACAATTCAAATATTTTATCAAATTGTTCCCTACCAAAAGGTCAGTTTCATCTCTCGTCTATTCTATCACCCTAGAACAATGCTTCCCCTTAAAAAAAAAAGTTCGTATCACCAACCTGCTGAAAGTTTTCTGCAGGTCTCTACTTCCTACAACAGCAGCTCTCAGTGATGGTCCCCTCATACACAACTGTGCCATCAGTTGTGAGAAATACTGAAAATTATGTACTGTCATATCTATCTACCTCATGAATATTCTAGAAGTTGTTACATAATTACAGAAGGAACCAAACCATACAGTGTTGCTCTGAGGGCCAGCTGGGTATATCTTTTTCTACTTGGGTATACACTCTTCTGAGTTAAATACTTACTATTGTACTGAGTTTGTGAAAATGTGTTTGCGAAATAAATATATAGTGGCTTTTAAAAAACAGTTCACTAGGCCGGGCGCGGTGGCTCACGCTTGTAATCCTAGCACTCTGGGAGGCCGAAGCGGGCGGATTGCTCAAGGTCAGGAGTTCAAAACCAGCCTGAGCGAGACCCTGTCTCTACTATAAAAATAGGAAGAAATTAATTGGCCAACTAATATATACATATATATAAATTAGCCGGGTATGGTGGCGCGTGCCTGTAGTCCCAGCTACTCGGGAGGCTGAGGCAGGAGGATTGCTTGAGCCCAGGACTTTGAGGTTGCTGTGAGCTAGGCTGATGCCATGGCACTCACTCTAGCCTAGGCAAGAAAGTGAGACTCTGTCTCAAAACAAAACAAAACAACAAAAAAAAACAGTTCACTATCATTTTCAAATTGAACCCTGAATTGGTATAACCAGATACTTCTAGCTAGCAAATCCTTGAGTACTACCAAAAATTAAATTTATTTATTTTTTAATGCTGGGAATAGGCAGAACTGTAGCTGCTTTCTAATATCCTTTCCTCATCTAATAGCTACATCTATAAAAAATATTATTTACTGATAAAGTACCAACCTTTTCAAGTGATTTATATTATCTGGATAAATCAGAGCTAATTCAAAGCTACTCCCATAATAAATATATTCACATCCCACTGTGCTTTCCGGAGTGGGAGAAGAAGGAGAGACTCTCTGCCAGAGTGCTGGAAAGTGTCTAACCCAGAATTCAGGCTACAATGGGAGACGGAAGAGGGCTAATGCATTTGTAACACATGAAGCCACGGAAAAAAATGACCTATGTGGTCTGCAAAACCTATAATATTTACTATCTGGCTCCTTACAGAAAAACTTTGCTGACCTCTGCTCTATTCTTACACCATAATTTGGGAAATTAATCTATATATTACTTAATATGCTACATTTCAGAAACAAATGCAAGCGTTCAACTGCCAGGCTGCTAAAGGAGCAACTTCCCCTCTTCCCCCAGTGCCCTGCCCAGCAGCCCCCACCAACCACAGGACAACTCTCCAGCACGTTTCTTCTTAGAGCCAAGAACTCAGTGGAGAGTGACTCCATGCAGGTACCTGTTCTGTTCTTTCCACGTCAGCCTTGGGTACTGGCTCCTCCACTTCTTCATCATACACACGCTGAATGTGAAAACAAATTCATTTTCAGAAGGTCAAAATGTCATTTGAAATAAATCACAACATAACAACTCAATATTCAGTTAAAAAAAAGACAAAGATGGGGAAGAAAATGGTTATTTAAATGGCTGAGGCCACTTCCAGTGGGTTATGGACAAATAGCAAAGAACAACAATCAATTCACCAAAAATTAATAAAAAGATACAAGTGACTAGGAAACATGAAATAACTTTAACCTCACTGATCAGAGAGTTGCAAAAAGTAAGTAAGATACCAGTTTCAAACCTTTTCATTTAACCTAATACATAACGTTGATGGGCAATGATACAGGTATTCACCCAAGGCTACCGAGAATGTCAACTGGTGTAACTTATCAACCGGGTAACAAGAGTATTAACATTTGGAACAGTAGAAATGGTAAAGGTAAAATATATTTTCATTTTGTTGCTTGAAATGACTGATAAATTTTTATTATCCCATTTACATAAAAGCAGATAGCCAAAATCTCCCACTGATTTTTAAGGCCAAGGCTTTTAACTAACCCTTACAGTACCAACAAGCAGAATTCTCTTTTCCAGAATAAATCCGTCATTCTGCCAACTTACTATGACTTCCTTTTTCCAAACTTTTTTTTAATTACTTTTTATTATTTTATTTTATAGACAGAGTGGCCCAGGCTAGAGTGCCATGCCATCAGCCTAGCTCATGGCAACCTCAAACTCCTGGGCTCAAGTGATTCTCCTGCCTCAGCCTCCTAAGTACTTGGGACTACAGGCATGTGCCACCATGCCCGGCTGATTTTTTCCATATATATTTTTAGTTGACCAGCTAATTTTCTTTCTACTTTTAGTAGAGACAGGGTCTCACTCTTGCTCAGGCTGGTCTTGAACTCCTGAGCTCAAACGATGCGCCCGCCTCAGCCTCCCAGAGTGCTAGGATTACAGGCGTGAGCCACCGTGCCCGGCCCTCCAAATTTTTTTTTTTTTTTTAAGACAGGGTCTCACTTTGTTGCCCAGGCTAGAGTGAGTGCCATGGCATCACCCTAGCTCACAGCAACCTCAAACTCCTGGGCTCAAGCAATCCTTCTGCCTCAGCCTCCCGAGTAGCTGGGACTACAGGCATACGCCACCATGCCCAGCTAATTTTTTCTATATATATTAGTTGGCCAATTAATTTCTTTCTACTTATAGTAGAGACAGGGTCTCGCTCTTGCTCAGGCTAGTTTCGAACTCCTGACCTCGAGCAATCCACCTGCCTCGGCGTCCCAGAGTACTAAGATTACAGGCATGAGCCACCTCGCCCGGCCACCAAATTTTTTTTTTAAACTACTTAAGTATAACACACTTGTTATAAAAAGTCAGTATAAATGAGTTGATTAAAATGTTCTGGAAATAGTGCCCATAGTTATAAAACTTTATGAATACACTAAAAACCACTGAACTGTACACTTTTTTAAATGCTGAATTTTGTCGTATGTGAGTTCTATGTCAATTTTTAAAATTTTAAGTCAATATAAAGACATATGTGGGCCGGGTGTGGTGGCACTCCTGTAATCCTAGCACTCTGGGAGGCCGAGGCAGGTGTATCATTTGAGCTCAAGAGTTCAAGACCAGCCTGAGCAAAAGCAAGGCCCCAACGCTACTAAAAATAGAAAGAAATTAGCTGGACAACTAATATACAGAAAAAATTAGCCGGGCATGCCGGTGGCACATGCCTGTAGTCCCAGCTACTTGGGAGGCTGAGGCAGAAGGATTGCTTGACCCCAGGAGTTTGAGGTTGCTGTGAGCTAGGCTGATGCCCCAGTATTCTAGCCCAGGCAACAGAGCAAGACTTTGGCTCAAAAAAAAAGAAAAAAGACATACATAAAAGAGATATATTTAAAAACAGTTCCCTCTCTACCCCCAACCTAATCCTTAGAATAAACCATTTAAACCTGGTGTTTGTGCTCCTTGTACACAAATACATAAAGATGTGCACATACTGAGTTCTCCTTCCCTTGTTTTTAAAACAAAAATGCACTCATACTAAACACATTTCTCTTCCCTATTTTTTCACTTAATGTTCTCATAAACCTAATGACTTATTAGGTCAATACATACAGACTTGACTCAATCTTTTTAACATCTGCCTATATTCTATGGTATAAACTCAACTATAATTAATTTGACAGTTCCCAATGGGTGAATATTAAGATTTCCAGTTTTTGCTACTGTAAACAAAGCTGTTCTGAACTTATGTTCTTAGGCACTGGTCCTTTATTTCCACAGGCTTTCCAAAAGTAGGATGGCCACATTAAAGGACAAAACTGTTTTTTAATCTTAATAGCTATTTCCAGATCTTTATGCACAAATGTGTAACAATTCACTATCAACAGCAGTGTACTCAAGTGCCCATTTCCCAAATCTTTGCCAGGAATGGACGTTGTCCACCTTTTAAAAAATATCTGTCAATCTTATCAAACAATGTTGTTTTTAAATGTTTGAATTCTCTGACCCAAAAATTCTATTTCTTAAATTTAGGTCCAAGAAAAATAATCACAAATGCAAACAACAGCATGCACATGGTATCATGATTTATAAGAGAAAGTCACACAAACACCAAATTTATAATTCTATGCAATTCTAATCGAATGCTAAGAATAGTCTGATAATCCTCAAATTCACACAGGAAAGTAAAAAAATCAAAGATTAATAAACATAACAATTCTGAATAGATGTTATGGGGACCTGCCCCAGTAAGACTTATTAGAAATCTGTGGTATTTAAGATCATGAAACTGCAGACAGTAAAGAAACATAACAAACAACAGAAGCCAGAAACAGATCCACAATTATAAGGAAGCCTGATTTTATTTTCACATTATCACATTCATTGCAAAAATTAATGAGGAAAAGAACCACCACACAATAAGGTTACCTAAAATGGAGGGGGAAAATGAAATCCCTTTCTACATAAAGAGAATAAAAAGGCCGGGCGCAGTGGCTCACGCCTGTAATTCTAACACTCTGGGAGGCTGAGGCAGGTGGATTGCTTGAGGTCAGGAGTTCGAAACCAACCTGAGCAAGAGCGAGACCCTGTCTCTACTATAAATAGAAAGAAATTAATTGGCCAACTAATATATATAGAAAAAATTAGCCGGGCATGGTGGCGCATGCCTGTAGTCCCAGCTACTTGGGAGGCTGAGGCAGCAGGATTGCTTGAGCCCAGGAGTTTGAGGTTGCTGTGAGCTAGGCTAATGCCACAGCACTCACTCTAGCCCGGGCAACAAAGCGAGACTCTGTTTCAAAAAAATATATATATATATTTACATATATATATATATATATATATAATAAAAATTAAAAAAAGAGAATAAAAAGGCAGAGATACAAAGGAGCTCCCAACCAAAATGTTTTTAGAGTTAAGGACAAAAATGGGGAGCTAGTGCCTTTGAAGCAAATATGGCAAAATATTAAAATCTATTGATTTTATGCCAACTGCTAACACGAAAAACTGCTATATATTTTTAGCATTTATGGTTATTCTCTGAACTTGCTATACATACAAAATATTTAATAAAAAACATTTAATATTAGAGAATTGTTAAATAAATTATGATACAGTCAAATAATGGAGTAAGAATAGCAGTTCACAAGTCTCAAAGACATGTTAAATAATAAGTTCACATTAAGAAAAGAGCAGGCTACAAATATACACTGTTATCTAGTAAAGGTTAAAGTTAAAAAAAAAAAAAAAAAGACTAGAAAGAAATACACCAAAATGTTCAATGACTGGTTAGTTTGGGGTGGTAGAATTGTAGTTGATTTTTTTGCAGGTTTAACTCTTCTAAGCCTGATGTCGGCATGAGAAACAGACTTAGAATATATGTGTCAAAACATTTAGAGGTTCCCCTCTAGCTGAGGAAATTTCAGATAATTTTTCTTTTTTTTACTCTTCCTGATTGTTCTATAAAGATCAGATATTACTATGGTAATTTTTAAAGACAGGATCCAAAAAAAGTCAGTAAATCTTAAAAGTGAGCCTTTAAGACATGGCAGCTACCAAGGTTACTTTGGCATTTAAACAGCAAGATCATTAACCTCAAAGGTTGACCTTATACTGAAGTCTGAACAGCACCAACACTCTACTTTTCTCCCTACCTGGTGTTAAAAACCACTCACATGACATCAGCAGCCTACAACTGGAAAGCCAAACATGACATCTCAGAAACCAACTAGCAAAGAACTAAAATCCATGGGATCTTTTACAGGTGAGAAGGACTGTGCATCTCAAGTACTTAGTACACAGCAGATAATCAATGCTAACTTCCATCACCCCACCAGGATGAACTCACAGCTTCATGTGTTTTGTGATCATTTTATAATCAGATAGATACTTCCAGAACTGTTAAATATAGTTGGTATTTCCCCTCAAGGGAGCTTTTCCTCATTTGGGGAGACAGGTAGGAGGGGATGGTGGGGAACTAGGAAAAAAGAGACCAGGGCTGGGGACTCCCTAACAGATACAAGCACATTAATGTGTACTCTCATACATTCATTCACGCATTCAAATATTCACTGAGTCCCACATCAGGCTTGTCCTGGGCCCTAAGAATACATTTGGCAAAAATATGGGGCTTAGTAGGTGAGTTCAACGCATCAAATTCTATCAATAACTATAAAATTATGATTGTGGGAAGTCAACTAAAGAATGGTATGTGATGCTTCAAGTGTTTTTATCCAGGGGTCAAGGAGTAAGTCATAATCAAGCTAAGACCTAGAAGAAAGATGTCAGTCAAAGGATAGAGGCATCTGCAGCAATGAAAGCAAAAGCCCATTGGCAGCAGGATCTTTGGTACCCCAAAGAACAAGAAGGCTGAAGTGTCAAAAGTAAAGGACAACATCATGTAAAATAAAGTGGGTCCAGGAGAAACAGCCTGTGCAGGAAGTTACAAGCCAGTAACTTTGGAGCTTTACCTCCTCTTATTGTTGAGTCTATGACAATTTCAGTAACCTCATTTGTTTCTTCAAGAGAAAGGTAGAAAAGGAGAGGGAAAAAATGACTAAAATTCAGCTTTTATAAACTAATAGGAAGATAATCTAGAAAACTATTTCATTTTGGAAAATTTTTTTTTAATTTTACAAAGCTAAAGATTTGGAAAAAATAAAAAATCCTCCCCTACCAGATCTTTTAACAAACTGAAATTATTAACTACGCCACTTAATATCTTAGGATAAATTTCTAAATTAACTGATTAATGAAGCTTTAATAATTTTGTTACCTTCAATTAGACAGTAAAACACTGACCAATGTTAATTAGTATTTCTCCTCCCTCAGAGTACCCTCTTGAGCCTTTACTAACAGTACTAATTTCTCTTGCCCTAGAAAGTCCTGACTCCTCTTGCCCTAGAAAGTCTGGATTGTTTCACTAACTTTATAAAGTAGTTTACAACTTTGTGGCTGTCTCTGAGGTTAATTAATAAAACCCAGAAACCTACTTGAATTTGAATAATCTTTCTGATAAATTACCATGAAGCCCAATGGCACATCATTCAAACCTGAATTGTAATACACGAGTACTGACGACACAGTTTCAAAAAAACATGCAAAAAGCCCTATCACTGCCAAATACAGACCAGCAAGTACATTTTTTCAGAGTTTTATTAGGCATATTAACCATTATGTCAACATCACCATGCTCTGCCACAAATGGAAAGAACTGTAATGTGGCATTATAGGAGGTCAGGGAAACAGATTTGGCAGTGGCCACCAGCACGTGCAGAGAGGAGTTCTGGCTGCAGACTGGAGGGAGAAGAGGCATAAGGACTGAACACTAAGGCAAAGAGATGAATGGAAAACCGGGAATCCACAGAAGTGGACAAAAATAAAGAACTATTACCAAAACAAAACAAGCTGGGCACAGTGACTCACACTTGTACTCCCAGCAATTTGGGAGGCTGATATGGGAGGATAGCTTGAGACCAGGAGTTCAACATAAGCCTGGGCAACACAGCAAGACCAATCACCACAAAAAAAAATTTTTTTTTTTAATTAGCCAGGCATGATGGCACACACCCTGTAGTCCCACCTACTAAGGAGGGTGAGGCAGGAAGATCACTTGAGCCTAGGAGTTTGAGATTGCAGTGAGTTATGATTGTGCCACTAAACTCCAGCTTGGGTGACAAAGCAGGACTCTGTCTAAATAAAACCCAAAAAATTCCACAAAAACATCATGAGGCTGGGTGCAGTGGCTCATGCCTGTAATCCTAGCACTTTGGAAGGCTGAGATGGAAGGATTGCTTGAGGCATGGAGTTTAAGAGTAGCCTGAGCAACATAGCAAGACCTTGTCTCTACAAAAAGTAGAAAAATCAGCCAGGTGTGGTGATACACATCTGTAGTCCCAGTTACTCAGGAGGCTAAGGTGGGAAGATCACTTGAACCTGGGAGTTGAAAGTCGCAGTGAGCTATGATGACACCACTGCACTCCAGCCCAGGTCAACACAGCAAGACCCTGTCTCAAAAAAAAAAAGGAAAAGAAAAGGAATGTTTGGCCAGAAAAGAAGAGCTGGATCGCTTCTCGGCCTTTTGGCTAAGATCAAGTGTAGTATCTGTTCTTATCAGTTTAATATGTGATACGTCCTCTATCCGAGGACAATATATTAAATGGATTTTTGGAGCAGGGAGATGGAATAGGAGCTTGCTCCGTCCACTCCACCCATCGACCTGGTATTGCAGTACTTCCAGGAACGGTGTACCAAAAAAACAAAAAAAAAAGAAAAGAAAAGAAAAGAAGAGCTGGAGAAAAAAGACCTGAAGACTGTGATTCAGGAAAAGAAGCTTATGATGCCCTCCACCTCTCCCCATTAAAGTATCTATCAAGTATCAATGTCGTAGGAATACATATAGGACAAAAGAAACCTCCCAAATCTATTCCTTACCCAGTCTAGTGCAGCAACATTGACTGCAAAGAAGAGCCGAGTATCTGATGTAGCAAGAAAAGGCACAAAATGAGAAAACATGCATATAAAAGGATACTAACAAGAATTTGGGGTTACAGTGAGTTATTATCACATCACTGCACTCCAGCCTGGGTGACAGAGTGAGACCCTGTCTCAAAAAAAGACAGCAAATTCAGCTTGATGAAAAAGTGACCGGGCTGTGTATACCAGACAAATAGACACTTGATTCTCCTAAACTGACTCTTCCAGTGGAATTGTTATGGACGTTCTGTATAGATAGTAAGAAAACTTACTTGTTTTACTTCAAAATTGCAAGTTTTCCTTTTCCATTAAAGGAAGTAACTGGTAAAGAGATCCCTAAAACCTTCATTAAGATCTTGATTTTACACATAGTTCCCTAAAAAGAGCTAACCATGCACCAGGCATGGTGGCTCACACCTATAATCCTAGCACTTTGAGAGGCCAAGGTAGAAGGATCACTTGAGCCCAGGAGTTTGAGACCAACCTGGACAATAGCAAGACCCCCATCTCCACAAAAAATAGACAATTCAGCCAGGCATGGTGGTATGCACCTGTAGTCCCTGCTACTTGGGGGGCTGAGGCAGGAGGATCACTTGAGGCCCAGGAGTTTGAGGCTGCAGGTAGCGATTGTAACACCACTACACTCTACCTGAGGCAACAGAGCAAGACCCCATCTCAAAAAAAAATCTAAAAGTGGCATTTCAACCTGTTCTACTAAAAAATGCATAAACATGATGTGCAAGTTGCCTGCATAGAATTAACAATCCTAAATCTTGGGCTTTTTATTATCTTTCCATTACTTTACATCTTACAACTTCATAAAGTGGCCTACTTTAATAATCTTCTTTTCACAAATGTATGCTGATATTCAGAAAGTGGACATCCTATAAGAAAGACAGATCAGCTTAAACTTCCTCTCCATCTTCATTTCTTAATAGTCTTCCTTCACTCACTCAGCTCCATCCATGCTTATTTTCTTTCTATTCTGGAATTACACTGTTTACTAAGGTAAGGCTCTATTGAATTTACCTATGTATTCCTAGCATCTACAAGAAAATAAATAAACGGGAGTCCAAGGCAGGAGGACTGCTTGAGGCCAGGAGCTCGAGACCATCCTAAACAAGGAGGATACCCTGTCTCCACTAAAAATAGAAAAATTAGCCAGGTATGGGGGCGTGCACCTGTAGTCCCAGCTGCTTAGGAGGCTGAGGCAGGAGGATCACTTGAACCCGGGAGTTTGAGGTTGCAGTGAGCTATAATGATGCCACTGCACTCTAAGCAGGACGACAGAGCAAGTGTGTCTCCAAAAAAACAAAAAGAAAAGAAACTCAGTAAATATATAGACAAAATTACACATGCGTTCAAGTTCGGTAACCTGCTTACAGTTGATTCTCTATCATAGGGCAGCCATCATCAGAAAGCTTTAGTGGCGAACATTTCAAGTAGATACACACATCCCGTTAGTATAATTTATCAGAATATAATGGACCTAATCAATAACTAAAGCCACATGCTGGTGTCCAGAGGGTCAGATCAGGTATATGGCTGTCCTTACAGAACATGCCATAATAACAAGGTTAGTCTGAATGCCACACAATGCAGCACGACTGCTGAATACTCTCAAAACTACAAAGGGATGGAAAGACTGGAATATGAGGAAATTTTTCCAAACGCTTCATAGTAAAAAACTTAAAACTTTATTAATGAAAAACAGGGATTAATCCTAGAGAAAAAAGTTTCCATTACCAGGAACCACTACTTCTACCAAAATTTAGGAGGCAACCTAAATAATAGGTCATTTAAAATTACAACATCTATTGCTCCCTCAAAAAGTATTATTCACTAATATGATGTAACTAAATAACTCACGTTCTCAATGAACTGGGTATTAGACAGCATAAGAAAGTCATTGAAGACATTATGCAAGCGACAATCTGTGGCTTTAGTTTCCCGAATTAGTCCATCCACTTGTTTCTTGATTTCATGAGTCCTAGAGATTGTCTGCTGTGAGAATTCCTGTAGAAACTGTAGTAGCTGTTTAAAAAATAAACATACAGTATTATCAATATTATATGCTTCTATTCTGTGTCAAGACAATAAAGAACCCACCCATACACTTTCACCTTTGCGTGTGTTGTAACGTACAATAAAAGGGATGCTGCTTATAACAGTACCCAAACCAGGTGTTATTGAAAAACACTAAGAAAGCTCATCGAAAGAGTGGCAACGAGTCAACGGACACTTGCTGTTTCTGGATTCTAAAGTCCTGTTTGGTGGTTGTTCTACAGCGATCCCAGACGAAGGGTAAGATAAGCAACCACCACTCTTATCCAAAAATCCATAGAGGACTTTGGAATTACAGTTCTGAGCTTTTTGGGGGCCCCGTTTTGAAGAGTCTCACTCAAGGATATCCACGTGGGGGCTCTTCTCCCACCCCACTCAGTCCAGGTCCCAGCACCGAGGAATCCCTCAGTGAGGCGGAAACGGGTCTGGCCCTCGGGGTGGAGGTGAGCGCACGGCTAGGAAACTCAAACAATGAAGAGATCCAGGCCGAGCACTCAGTGGGTTGAGGTCCGGCTCGCCCCTCTCCCTGGTGACGGGACTGCCCCGGTGGAGTTTTCGAGAACGAGGAAACGTTCGTTCTTAACAAGAGAGCGGGAGCCGGACAGACAGCCCGGCGCAGGGGGACTCGGGTTCTAGTCCTCCGGGCGGCCCGCCCTGCCCTCGCGTCCCCGGGGCCCGCCGCTCACGCCGGCGTCGGCCGCCAGCGACCAGTTCTGGCTGCTCCTGCGGATCTCCTCCACCGACCAGGGCCGCTTCCACACGGGCTCGGACGCCGGCGCCCGCTCCGGATCGGGGGTCGTGCGGTTCATCTGCAGCGGGAGGGATGAGAAGGGGCTGAGCGTGGGGGCGGCAGCGGCGGCGCGCCCGGCCCTCCCTGGCCTGCCCGCCCGGCCCTCCCCGGCCCTCCCTGGCCTGCCCGCCCGGCCCTCCCCGGCCCTCCCTGGCCTGCCCGCCCGGCCCTCCCCGGCCCTCCCCGGCCCTGGGCTCTCACCATCCCCGCCGCGCGCCCGCAGCAGCCGCGGGTAGCCGAGCTCCGGAAGCCCAGCCCCCGCCGAGCGTCCAGGCCTCACGTGGCCCATCGTCATGTGACCGGGCCCGCACGTGACCGGCGTGCTGCGCGGCGAGGAGGGAGGTGCGGCTGTGCACTGGGACAGGAAGTTGGAGTGGCGGGAGTGGCCCGCTGGGCTGGGCGGAGAAAGCTGCTCCAGTGGAGCCCACCGGGAGCGCTGAAGAGGTGGGCAGGGAGCTGCGGCTTCTCCCTGAGGCCGGTGGCGGCGCGTGACCGTCTCCGGACAGGCTGTCAGCCCGGTGCGTCTGGAGAGAGGTGCCCTACAGCAGCCGATGGAGCGACCAGCCTGAGAGCTTTAGAAGTCGGGCGACGTGGAGGAAGGCAAAGGCCTCCCCTGCTGTGCCTCTTTTGCTGCAGGCCGCTGCCCCGAGGAAGCCGGCTCACGTCCACTCAGTGAATGGAGAATCCCTGACCTACCTGGGCATCCCATGCTCTGGGTGACCTGCTCGGTCTCACCCTCTGTGTAGGGCCTACCTAAAATCCTTTACTCTCTCAGGATTGCCCTCAGAGTCAAGGCCAGACTTACTAGGACAAGCATAAAACTATCATCCATACCTCGCTCTCCTCACTCCCCACTAGGACTGTGATCCCGTTCTCTCTATCAGGCTTCTTTTAGGTTCCCTGTACTGAGTCGCTCTTGTGCCAAGACCAGCTTACTTTTAAAGTAAAAATCCCAATTTCCGTTCATGTGTTCCCAAGGGCGAATTAACTTTTCCTGGCTTTCCTCCTCAGTATAACAAAGATACGTATCTTATAGGGATGATTTTTTTTTTTTTTTTTTTTAAAAAGAAAGAAAAAGTAAGAAAGAAAGAAAAAAGAAAAGGAAAAAAGAGAGAGAAGAGCGAGAAAAAAAGACCTGGGAAGGACTGTGATTCAGGGAAAAGAAGCTTATGATGGCCCTCCCACCTCTGCCCCATTAAAGTTAATCTATCAAGTTCAATGTCGTAGGAATACATATAGGACAAAAGAAACTCCCAAATCTATTCTTTTACCCAGTCTAGTGCAGCAACCATTGACTGGCAAAAAAGAGCCGAGTATCTGATGTAACAGAAAAGGGGCACAAAATTGAAGAAAAACATGCATATAAAAGAACTAACAAGAAATTGGGGTTACAGTGAGTTTCATTATCAAATCCACTGCACTCCAGCCTGGGTGAACAGAGTGAGCCTGTCTCAAAAAAAAGGACAGGCAAATTCAGTTGATGAAAAAGTGAACCGGGCTGTGTATACCAGACAAATCGACAACTTGATTTCCTAAACTGACTCTTTTCCAGTGGAATTTTATGGGACGTTCTGTCATAGATAGTAAGAAAAATTACTTGTTTACCTTCAAAATTGCAAGTTTTTCCTTTTCCATAAAGAGTACTGGTAAAGAGATCCCTTAAAACCTTCATTTAAGATCTTTTATTTGACAATCCATATCTAAAAAGAGTAAACCATGGCACCAGGCATGTGGCTTCACAACCTATCAATCCTAGCACTTTGAGAGGCCAATAAAGGGAAAGGATCACTTGGCCAGGGAGTTGAGACCAACCTGACAATTAAGGCAAGACCCCCATCTCCACAAAAAAATAGGACAATTCAGCCAGGCATGGTGGGTAGCCACCTGTAGTCCCCTTGTCTTGGGGCTTGGGCAGGAGGATCATCTTGAGGCCCAGAGGTTTGATGGCTGCAGGTTAGCGATTGTAACACATACACTCTACCTGAGGCAACAGAGCAAGACCCCCCATCTCAAAAAAAAATCTAAAAGTGGCATTTCCAACCTCTACTAAAAAATGCAAAAAACATGTGTTGGCAAGTTGCCGCATAGAATGAACAATCCTAAATCTTGGGCTTTTATTATCTTTCCATTTACTTCATCTACAACTTCATCAAGTGGCCTACTTTAATTAATCTCTTTTCACAAATGTATGCGATATTCAGGGAAAAGTGGACATCCTATAAAAAACACAGACGCTTAAACTTCTCCTCATCTTCATTCTTAATTATGTCTTCCTTCACTCACTAAGCTCCACATCCATGCTATTTTCTTTCTATTGGAATTATCATATTTTATTTTACCTATGTATTTCCTCATCTACAAAGGAAAATAAAATAAACGGAGTCCAAGGCAGGAGGACTGCTTGGAGGCCAGGGAGCTCGAACCCATCCTAATTATATTCTGATTGTTTTTATTTGTGTGTTATGGTGTTATCTCTCTTGTCCTTAATTTATTTATATTTATTTTTTGTAGGGCGTGCCACCTGTAGTCCCAGCTGGGGGGCTTAGGAGCTGGAGGAGGAGGATATTCTTCCTGTGTATCATGTGGTCTTATGTTTCATATCTAATTTATGTCATTGTTCGACAGAGCAAGATTGTCTCCATATATTTATATATATAAGAAAAGAAATCTCATTTAATTTTAATATATGACAAAACTTACAACATGCGTTCAAGTTCGGTTAACCTGCTTACAGTTGATCTCTTATATAGGCAGCCCATCTATCAGAAAGCTTTAGTGGCGAACATTTCAAGTAGCAAACACATCCCTTAGTATTAATTTATCAGAATATAAGGACCTAATCAAGTAAACTAAAGCCACGATGCTGTGTCCAGAGGGTCAGATCAGGTATATGGCTGTTCCTTACAGACATGCCATAATAACAACAAAGGTTAGTCTGAATGCACACAATGCAGCACGACTGCTGAATACTCTCAAAACTACAAAGGATGGAAAGACTGGAACTATGAGGAATTTTTTTTTATCTTCATAGTAAAAAACTTAAAAAACTTTATTAATGAAAAACAGGATTAATCCTATTTTAGAAAAAGTTCCATTACCAGGAACCAGTACTTCACCAAATTTAGGAGGCAACCTAAATAATTAGGTATTTAAAATTACAACATCTATTGCTCCCTCCAAAAAGTATATTCATAATATGATGTAACCAAATTAACTCACTTCAATGAACTGGTATTAGACAGTCTATATTATATATATATAGTATTTTATGCAAGCGGAAATCTTGGCTTTATTTCCCTTCTATCCACTTTTCTTTTTTTTTTTGAGATTGTCTGCTGTGAGAATTCCGTAGAAACTGTAGTAGCTGTTTAAAAAACTAAAACATACAGTATTATTTTTTTTATTATATGGCTTCTATTCTGTGTCAAGACAATAAAGAACCCACCCATACACTTTCACCTTTGCGTTTTTTTTAAAGTACAATAAAAAGGGGATGCGTCTTATAACAGTTACCAAACCAAGGTGTATTAAAAAACACGTAAAGAAAGTCTCATCGAAAGAGTGGCAACGACGTCAAGGACACTTGCTGTTTCTGGATTCTTAAAGTCCGGTTTGGTGTTGGTTCTAACAGCGATCCCAGACGAAGGGGTAAGATAAGCAACACCACTCTTATCGCAAAAATCCATTAGAGGATCTTGGAATTTTTCTGAGCTTTTTGGGGCCCCCGTTTTTGAAGAGTCTCACTCAAGGATATCCACCGTGGGGGCTCTTCTTCCCACCGCCCACTCAGTCCAGGTCCCAAGCACGAGGAAATCCCTCAGTGAGGCGGAACGGTCTGGCCTCGGGGTGGAGGTGAGCGCACGGCTAGGAAACTCAAACAATTGAAGAAATGAAAAAAGGAAAAATGAGATCCAGGCCGAGCACTCAGTGGTTTGGATGGTCCGGCTCGCCCCTCTCCCTGGTGACGGGATGCTCTCTCTTCCTGGGGAGTTTCGAAAACGAGGAAATCGTTCGTTCTTAACAAGAGAGCGGAGCCGACAGACAGCCCTGTGTTTTCTTAGGTGGGTATTCCTGTTTTGTTCTAGTCTCCGGCTCTTCTTTTTCGGTCCCCGGGGCCGCCGCTCACGCCGGCGTCGGCCGCCAGCGACAGTTTCTGGCTGCCCTGCGGATCTCTACACCGACCAGGCCGCTTCCCACACGCTGCTTCGGACGCCGGCGCCCCGCCTCCGGATCGGGGTCGTGCGGTTCATTCTGCATGCGGGAGGGATGAGAAGGGGCTGAGCGTGGGGGCGGCACGGCGCGCGCCGGCCCTCCCCTGGCCTGCCCGCCGGCCCTCCCCAGCTCTCCCCGGCCCTGGCTCTCACCATCCCCGCCGGTCTTTTTAGTTCGTGTTTCCTTTTTTTTTATTATCTCTTTTTTCTCACGTGGCCCGTCGTCATGGACGGGCCCGCACGTGACCCGGTTTCTTCGCTGCGAGGATGGTATGTTGTCGCTGTGCATCTTTATCTATTATGTTTTTAGTGGGGGAGTTGGGCCCGCTGGCTGGCGAGAAAGCTGCTCCAGTGGAGCCACCGGGGCGCTGAAAGAGGTGGGCAGGGAGCTGCGGCTTCTCCCTGAGCCAGTGGCGGCGCGTGACCGTCCCGGGGACAGCTGTCAGCCCGTGGCGTTGTTATATTTATATTTTCTACAGCAGCGATGGAGCGACCAGCTGAAGTTTAGAAGTCGGGCGACGTGGAGGAAGGCAAAGCCCTCCCCTGCTGTGCCTCTTTTGCTGCAGGCCGGTTTTTTGTTATGTATATTCTCTGTTTCATTTCTCCATCTCATTGTTGATATTTTGTATTTTCTTTTCTGTATTTTTGTACCTGGGCATCCCATGCTCTGGGTGACTGCTCGTCTCACCTCGTGTAGGCCTACTAAAATCCTTTACTCTCTCAGATTGCCCTCAGAGCAGGGCCAGACTTACTAGGACAAGCATAAAACTTTATATCATCCATACCTTTTTCTCACTCCCCACTAGACTGTTGATCCCTTTTTTTATCAGGTTCTTTTAGGTTCCCTGTACTGAGTCGCTCTTGTGCCAAGACCAGCTTACTTATTAAGTAAATATAATTCCCAATTTCCGTTCATTGTCCCAAGGGCGAATTAACTGTTTCCTGGCTTCCTCCTCAGTAGTAACAAAGATACGTATCTTATAGGGATTAATTTTTTTTTTTTTTGAGACAGAAGTCTGCTTTGTTTCTCAGGCTGGGAGTGAATACAGGGGCATCAGCCTAGCTCATCAGGAACCTCAA